CTAGCCAAAGGGCTCAATATTTAAATATAAATCTTCAAGTTCAATATTGTCTGGTTTATGTCGCAACTTGGGCCCTTTGTCCCCCCTTATCGAAATAACTGTTGCCTTTAATACCTCAAAGCGCAAGCGCTTTCTAAGATACTGAGTCTGAATATCGATGACCCGTTGGAGATTCCAACTTTTGTGCAAGCTTTTTAATCAAGGCCAAGCGTTGCGCTTCGACTCCCATGCCTCCTGTTGTGGAGAAAACTAAAAGTAAAGGTGTAAAGGAAGCTTTTTCCACTTCTAGGACCCTTGCATTATATGCTATTTTCTTCTCAGTCTCGTGAGCCAAATAATCATAGGAATTGGTTTAGCTGCGTTGGTCGGAGCAGGAGCGTGAAACACTCTTACATAAAAAATGCTCTTTCCAACGCATTCCAAACTGATCTTGCTGATATATCTAGTCAGGCTTGATCTCCAGTTACTGTACCTCGTGGTAACTGCATGCCGCTGACTGGAAGAAGAGGGGGCTCTGTCTGAACGTCTTTGCATTTGACTGTCCGCATGATATTAGCTATTGTATATCGAAGTGAGTTATGCCTCAAGTTCACATAACCCCCAAGTTTACACGTGAGGGCATGGTTTGCGGTTAGGAATCACCACTAGTACAAAGTTTTGGACAATCTTTCAGCTTCAGGTTATATCTTAAAGCTATAGCATTTGAAAACTGTTGCTTATTCAGGAGATAACCATAGCTTTTGAGTGGTAATGTGGTTAGCCAGGAACTGGCACCCTTCTCCGCTGCTAGCTGTAACATAAGTTTAGATGTTTGTGGCAGAGACTCCTGAATTGCCTCCTGTCTTCTGGTGTAATACTCATTGCGATCTTTACTGATGGATGTCTTGATTTCATGGCTTTTATCCTTGTCTTCAAGATAGTTTACCTCTTGGCCTTAGTATAGCCGTTTGTAGCAAAGCTGTAGCTTTGACTGAATACAGGAACTCTGACATCTGAGTTGGCCATATAGTTCTGTTATTATAGGGATACCCTGCCCTTCATACCTTGGTGGTAGAGAAAAGATCTCTCTAAGAGTGTCAGTGCAACTAAATGATCTATCAAGGATTGCTGGAATGTGAATGAACACCTCTCAAGTGTATTCCTACACACATTGACATAGTTCCATCTTTTCGAAAGTCCATGTATACAAATGCAGAGTATGCAACTTGAGGCTCTCTTGATGCGATTCCTGCTAATTGCTTCACGTCACGACACCATTCCTCCACTTTCTGGTCTATAAAGCTGTGATGCCCTTCTATTGACCCAATAAATCTGCCTAAATACCCTTTCCCAACCGTTCTGATGTTGACATCAGGAAACATCTCTTTCGCAGCTTGTGATAATTTGTAAAGGAGCACGTGTTTGCGGAGGTTAATGCATGTTTTGCTTTGTGACACCACGAAAAAACTATACCCATTCTCAAATCCTACCACTTCTAACCATCTATTGCCTTTTTAGGCGATGGAAAAAATTGGGGTACATTTAGCTTTAGCACAGACACAGTTGACTAATCTGCCAGATTTTTTAGCCGGAGATTACAAGTTCGAATCCCAGTCGAAGCCATTCTTTTCTGTTTTATTGGTGCAGCGGTTTCATGTAATCATCTTCACCTGTCACATGACTTATATAGTCGCGTAACTTGTGTAGTTGAAGATGAAGCTGTACATTTATTTAATTTGATGATTCGTATTCTATTCAGATAGTCTCTAGATATAAACATGAAACACCAAGTATCAACAATGTTAACATCTGACACGCGGCGACCTTTGTAAAGTGTGCTGCCTGATAAAGTAAAATAATGACTAATGTGCTTTCTACATTCAACTAGAGACAGAGTGTACCGTTTCAGGACGACACCTGGAACTTTGCTTACACTATCATTCAGCATTCAGTTGTGTGTTGCGTAAATTTTGACTCTGCTTCGCAGCTAATCGTTAATGTTATTATCTTTAACTTTAAGTTTAAGTTTTTTAATTCTTTTACCATGCATAGTCGGTCACGTAACACTCACTGTTTGATATGAAATCTAATTTATAAAGAGCACTTTCGGGATGCGGATGGTTACTCTTCAGCAGCACAGTAACAGCTGTGATTAATTGTTTTTTAACCTGATGATCGTAATGTAAAGGTTAACGAGTGATACTCTTCAGAGGGAGACGACCTTGTTAGTGTTACGTATTGAGGCACTGAGGCCCTTGAGGCACAACTTTGAGGCCCTTATTGAGGCGCCACTTTGAGTCACTGAGGCCCTTGAGGCATAGCTTTATGAGACCCTTGAGGCACCACTTTGAGGCCCTTATGGCACCGGTTTTTAGGCACTGAGGCACCAATTTGCAGCACTTGAAGTTGAGGCACCACTTTGAGACACTTGGGACACCATTTTGGGGCACTGAGGCACTCGAGGCACCAATTCGCGGCACTCTTAACTTGAATATCAACAAAATAATAGTTTCGATTGATGTATCTCTAATATGCAGGGGTCGTTCACATTATGTAATCAGCCGAGGGGGGAGGGGGGTTTTCAAATGATTACGCTAGTGTAATTTTGACACAATACTAATAGTTATATGTGTAAAACTGATTACGGAGGGGTGGGTGTGGTGGGGGTAAAATATTTCCAAACAGTAAATACGTAATACTAATATGTGAACGACCCCATATTGATATTGTAATTGTAGGTTTCCGTTTATAACCAACCAGGACGCGCGCCGAGTTGGAACAAATATTTTACGAGTATCACCCGTTAACCATATTGATGCATTTTCGAGTTTTATTCACTTTCAGTGCGCGGTGAAATTTTACTTGGGGACCTCAGGCTATACCGAATAGAAATTCCCGGCTATTTGAATTTCCATTCAAACACCTAGCCTATAAGTATAACTATAAGTATAAGTATAAGTATAACTATAGCGTCCAGGAAACGAAATACATATCTTCAAAATATGCGCTTGGGAGGTATTTCAAAGTTTTGCCCTGTATATTAATATGTAAGCCTCGGATTAGCGGCGCGAGACATAATGCGTATCTATATAGATCTCGATGCATAATGTCAATGACTATAGTTTATACTAAGGACCCTTTACTGGGCGGCGCTCAGCCTGTCAAATTCCGCTAAATGAACGATATAGCCTGGGGTCCCCAGGTAAAGGACCCTGTGTACTTGTAGTCAAACATTGTGTTCATTGTTGTAGGTTTATAACCTACCACTACCAGGACGCGCGCCGAGTTGCAGGACTCGTCGATGGAACAGATAGTGAGATATTTTACGAGTATCACCCGTTAAGTTCATTGCAGACCGAAGCTTGCATACTCAAATACAGTTTACAGTTACACTCTGCTACTAGTACTAGAGTATAAACTATAAAGGAAGAATTTATAATTCAAATTGCATATGTTAATTTCATTTTTGTGTAAAATTTCTGATTGATTTCTAATAATTATTATTCAAAGATCAAGTTCGTTCAGTCGGTGATAGAATAGCTATAAAGGCAACCTGTGAAAATGTCCGACGATACGAAGCTAATCACTAAACCATCTTCTTCCTCCGCTGAGTCCGCTTGTGATTCCTCCGGATCCCACTCGTGGACTAGACAGGATTACCTCATCGCTTCACTGGTGGTCCTGATAAAGATTGGCGATGGTGTTGAGGCTTACCTTCCTGGAGTTATCAGTCAGAAAGCTTCTTGTGAACTCGGTGTATCGAACTTTCAAGAAGGAATCCTAGCAGCGAATATGTATGCGTTTTGGGCAATCGCACTCATTATTTCCATCTCGATTTCAAAACTGCTGGGGGAAAGATTCACATTGCTTTTGTCACTTTATCTGTCCATTGGGTTCGCTATCTTGTGTGCGGTGGTTCCTAATTACTACACCCTTCTTCTCTCCAGAGCCTTAACCGGTATCTGCGTTGGATTGAACGGATGTACAACTGGGATTTTTCTAGCCAAGCTTGTTTCCTCCAAAGAAGTCTTTACTCAAAGCGTATTTCTCTCAGAAGCGCTTGGGTTTGCAGCTGGAGGAACTTGGGTGTCCATACTGGGATGGCTGATTCTAGACCTTGTGAACTGGAGAATCTTCATTCTGCTGACTTCCATCCCACTATTTGTTCCTCTAATCATCATGATCCACTTTTGCATTGATGGAACGCCAGTGGATGTTACAGAAGAAGCACGTGAGCCAAAGGTAGAAAGAAATACTAATCCGACTGAAACTGACGAAACTGGTTGACAACAAATCACAAAGTGTACCGAATTTTGTCCAAAGGGTCCTCAAATCAAGCTTGTTTTTCTTCTGCAATCTTTGTGTTGGATATGGAAGCATAATTCTTCTTCCATGGCTGCTGAGAAAGTACAAGAGAGGTCTTGTTCACAACAGTGAAGGTGGTAAATGTGAAGAAGTGGTGCAAGGTAACGATTTCCTCATTTTGGCAGTAGTCACTGGTGCAGCAAACATGATAGGGAGACCACTGGGGTATTTTCTGTGGAGTCGTGTAAAGTTCCTGATACTGCAACCTACAATCACCATAATAATGGCTGTGTGTTTTGGTGTTATTCTGGCAAATCCTGGCCTGATAGCCTCAGTGGTTCTGTTAGGGCTGGCAAAGTTGTGTTACTCAATGCAGGCAGTGGAAGCTTCTCTACTGATATTCGATTACGATTACTACGGAAAGTCAAAATTAGAGCTGGGGAGCAGCGTGACGATCGCCTCGGGTATGATTGGGAGCGTGGTGGGAACTTCTCTGGCTGCCTTCCTGGATCCTTATACTGCAGTAGCATCCACCTTGGTGATAGTGTGTGTTGAACTCGTTGTCATCTGCTTCATGAAGGAACGATTTTAAAAACTTTACGATATTTTTAAAACAGTTGGCGAAAATATTTCGTTGACGAAATTTGTCGTAGTTATAGTTCTATCGAGAATCTTTCAATTATCTTTGTGCCATTATTATCTCTCGGCTCTGTAACAACAATAAATGGATTACCCAAGATAAATTCTGGGTTATCAATTTGTCCGTCCAATTAGCAGCTTTAATTTTCAATATTATATAATGCGAAGAAAAGTTGCGGTCAGAGATAAGTGATATGGGTAATCCGTCACGAAACTGAGAACTTTTGGACAATTTTTAATTTTAAAATATAAATGCTGTGATGAAGTACTGATAAGAAAACTATCAAATTTAAAGGACCAGTTAACTGACTCAAAAAAAAGCTATCCTCATATTTTGACAGATTGTGACAAATAATTGTTTAATACACGGACATCATAAACTGTTCGGAAAACACCCACTACCCAGGATGCTACGTCTAAGCTCTGGCATGAAGGCCACCGAGTACAGACCCTCCTAAAATTTTCTCATCCTCAAAACTTTTAATTCTTCGTAGCTGTGCGTCTATTGTTATGATCGTACGATTTTTGATCGGATAAAATAAACTTTTATTACAATTCGGGGGATTTCAATATCGATTGGGCGCAACTGTCGTATCTGATCAAGCAGATTTTTAATTCATGGTTTTGATTCGTCATCTTCCCATGGTGGCTAGATCTAGATTGGGCGCAACTGTCTGGCAGCCGTGTAATAGTACAAACAGATCCGTCTGAAAAAATCGATCTGCCGACACAAGAAGCTTATATATTACAAAGGATTTTTGACGTTTTTCAGTTCTAATAGGTGCCCTTTATGGCTGACCAACTTTTCCAAACTTTTCCACGTGTCTTAAGGCCACTTTTTACGACTTTTTACGACTTTTTACCACTTTTCTCGTATGTCAAATATCTAGCGTTCTGGACATCGTAGACGGTTCTAAATTGAACCCCAGTGTTTGTAATATCATGAGCCTGAAGGAGAACAATTGTTTCTTCGAAAGCTGCGAAAGTTTTCTTGTCAGATAATTAGTTAGTTGGCTAATTTCATAATTAGCTAATTATTTTAAAAAACTCAAAAATACGTTGTCATTGATACATGTTGTCATTGATACACGTTGTCATTGATACATGTTTCCTTCGGCGGCGCGCGCTTCGCGCGCGAAAAGTGGCATGCAACGTATGTCAACGTTGTCATACGTTGTATGACCCGCCGCGCACGAAGTGCGCGGCTCCCCTGTATCGTCAGGACGACCGTGGGGGTCGCAACGTGATACATGATACAAAAATACGTTTGCTTAGAATGATCAAAATAACACGAAACGTGGAGAAAAGTAGTTTTTAGATAAAAGTTAAAAATTTTTCGATTTGGAAAATTTTTTTGAGATTCAATGTCAGTCATGGATTGAACTATATAAATATTTTCTCGTGATACACAAACCTTTATAAATATAATTTAGCAATATCTGCGGTGTTATCATATTCATAATCATAAATTTCAATTTTGCAGATACTGATCATGATAGAACTAGAAGGGGTTATGTTTCTTGTTAGGTTTATCGTAAGGATGATGATTAATCATTCAGCTACACTCGACTGTCACGTGACTTTTTCAACCCGTTCTCTAGCTGGTCCTGAACGACTATTCGAAACCCTAACCCTCTAATCTAACCCTCAACCCTAACACTAACAGTAACCCAATCCTTAACAAAAGCATATGCTAAAACCCTAACCCTAACGAGAAATTAAACTAATCTTTATAGGGTCATATCACGTGATCGTGACAGTTTTTCGCCAATTATATCTCGTCAGGGGAGCATTTTAACCCTATGTCATGGGGGTGATTCAGAATCAGCGTCCGAAAATACATCGATTGAAGTTGGTTACAAATTCAACTGTCGGGGGCCCTTTTAGAACAATCTCGAAGATCGACTGTAGAGTGATTTAGCAGGCTCGTTATCGTAATCGGAATCTGCTATAGTGAAATATAACATCGTCACACAATCCCGTATCTCAACGAAACAGCAGTTAAATTAACACAACCACCATCCGCAGATCCTATTCTTCCCACAATCACAATTCACAAGTTAAATTTTCGTTTGCTACAAATCGTATCGTTTCTGCAAATCCCCTGCCTTTCCTATGTTTCGCGAGCTTGTTATCAAAGTAAAGCTCCTAAACAGTATGGAAAGAAAACGCAGGAAATCCGCAGTCTTTTATTTGGAAAGGAGATCGCCTTCTGCCTCATATTATATCGAGTATAACTGCATATAGAGTATAGACTTAGAGGGTTTCGGTTTGGGTTTAAAGTTAGTTCTCGTTATTTGAACGCGACGAAGTCGATAGGACTTGCACTATTAGCCTATTAGGATTACAATTTATTATCTTCTACATGCTTCCATTTCCAATCACGATAAAACGCCCTTCTGCTTCTAATTTTGTCGGTTTATCCTTGCGAGGCTTATCCTTGCAAGTTAGATTTTTGTACCTCAAATTCTTCTTTGGTGACAATTCTTTCTACTCTGGGAATATTCGATCTTGACTTGGCGGATTTTTCATGGGAAACTGAAAGTTATTTATTCTGTTAGGAATTCGTTAGAAATGGTACGTCATGTCAAAATGAAATTAGTGACCACAATTATTCCAGGGAGAGGGAGAGGGAGAGGGATCAGAGAGAGGGAGAAGGAAAGGGAGAGGGAGAGGGACCTTATTTCATATTTGATACCTCCTAGTCCTACTAAACTCACCTTATTCACCATTTTACAGGAGAACTTACAGTTTGAATAATGACTGAAAGAGACCTACCACTCGAAACTGCTACTCCCCTCACTATAGACTTTGAGGGACATGCAAAAGCATTCGCCAGGTTTATGTCTCAGTCCAATCAATACGATATTCGGGCTAGTATCTCTCGGAATTTCCTTTTAGAGAACAACTTTGACAAGGAGCCGGTGCATATGTTGAGCATTGGTGCCGCTATAGCCATAGGAAATTTTGAGATAAATTTTCCTGATAAAGACACATTTATAGTTTATACATTAGAGTAAGTATCATTTCATAGACCTTGCATGCCTTAGTTTTAGAGTTATATTTTACCGAAGTTATAACAAGACAAATATTAATGCCTGATTGTCATCGTATTCGAAGCCCTAGCCAATATCCCAGGTTGTAAAAATATGAAACATTTAGACAAACTGATCTGATAATGGTTTGGAGAGAGTTCGAAACTGTGTGCCATTTTGCTCTAATTTAATGTGTAGTCGTTTTACATTTGGTTGCAAATAGCGAGCTCTGTTATCAGCTGTTGTAACTTGCGATAAGAAGTGCTTGTCTTTTAGTGTGATCGTTGTGTAGCCTGTATACAAGAACTGTACATTGGAATATACACGATGCAGTACTCATACCATGAACATACGAAGCATTTGGTCGATGACCCCGATAATGATGATCTGTTTAGTGCCAGACATGCAGATCAGGTAGCGAGAGCTACAAACAGTGTTTTTAATGAAATGTGCCATGAACTGGATGTTAAGGAATACGGAGATCTAGTATTGAAAAACCTGAACAAGCGATCAGTTTCGAAAGAAAAACTGTGTGATTGGCTGCAAACTGTTTGTTTCATTTTGAATCGTTATGCGGCTCCTCATTTGCAAATGGCTGCGGAGAGAGTAGATAAACAGAACATTTCAGTAATCGCGGAGCAGAAAACTGTCATTGATTTGCAGAAGCAGCTCATTGAAAAGAAGGACGAAGAACTCAAGTCTGTTCAAACAACTGTGCAGACAGAAATGAAATCATATTCTTCTGCCCTGAAAAAGACTTGTGCAGCTGCTCTTACGCCAAAGAAGATCTGTACTGCAGTTAAGACAATAGCTGAAAAGGATGAAAGAAGCAGAAACGTCGTAATCTACGGAATAAGTGAATCCGACGGCGAGAAGTTAGAAAACAAAGTTGCCGAAGTTCTTGGTGAGATAAACGAGAAACCTTCTTTTCGTGACTGTTGTAGAGTTGGTCTGAAGAGAGTGGGCACATTAATACGACCAACTAAACTATCTCTAAATAGCTCTGACATGGTTACTCAGGTGCTGCGAAAAGCGAAACTACTACGCACAAAAGAGGGCTATAAAAGTATCTACATTTGCCCAGACAGATCAGTGGAAGAAAGGAGAGCTTACAAGAAGCTCTGGGAGGAATTGAAAGAGAAGAGGAAAGCAGAGCCTAACAGAATTCATTTCATAAGGAACAATAAGATTGTCAGCTCTGATAAGAACAGTGTATCAGCCTCGTCTGAAGAAATTTGAACTGTTTCACATTCTTCACACATTTATTTTATCACAATTTTGTTTCACATTTTAAAAAATCATATCGGGGCCATGTAATTGCGGGCACGTTTTACTGTGCAGTACCGTGTTTGGTCTCCCGACAGATTTTACAGACGGGGGCAATATTTTATTCGAGTTTATTTCATTCGTTGTAATTGCTGTACTCTGTAAAGTTTGAAAAGTATTTAATAATATGCTATCAATCTTTATAAATATGTATGTTTTAATTAATCGTCAATATAAGTTTCGGCGCTGTTCCGTTTAGATTTAGAATGTAGCCGTTCCTAATTTCTTGTTTTACTGTAAAATATTGGGTGTGCAATTTTGTATGAATCGAGTGAAACGATTTTCTAAAGAACAAAATCATTGCACAAGTAATATACACTAAGCACTTAGTATCGAATTTCAATAATATAAATACATTCTGGAATCTGGACGTACCAATTGATTTATGAAATTTGGCTCTGAAACGGTTATTAAAGTACTAACTTAAAAACCTAAACTAAATAAAAAACTGAAACTTGACCATGTAGTTTCAGTTACGTAATTGCAACTAATCATTGTAAACATTCAACTAAAAAAAGCTAAAAATAAAACTGCTAAACTTTAGCTGGTTTGCGTTCTTTAAATTAACACTAAAATCAGGGGGAAATCTACCATAAGTGCCCAGGGACCATGCAATCAAATCAAACCTAGAACCAAATTGAACCCACACTAAAATTCAACAGTGTAACAGTAATGAATCAAAAATCCATCAATCATAACATGAAACAAAATCTGTTAAGCCTATTACAATTACAAGTTGCGATAAATGGATAAGATTAAAAATAGCTGCTATTAATATATTTATAGATATAATAGTACATACTGATACTGTATTTACAATAAAACACATTTCATCCATATTAATTTCACGGACGCTGTGACACTATTAAAAAACACTGAAAGGTACGCTCACCCAAATCTCCTGGGTGGTTTATGAACCATTCTAAGCTCATCTGAATATAATAATTTCTTAACTAAAATTCAAACTGTAAAGCATCAAAGTTACTCAAACTTGCAACTTAAAAATACAAATTTGAACTATAAAATGAACAGTCAAACCAAGTTCAGTCGTTGTCAATCAAGTTCAATAGAACACACTGTAGGCGTATACAATATGTACATTATACAATATACATTGTACATAACATTAACAATAAAGAGTAACGATAAACCATACTAAAATATACAAATATCTTTATCTTCTGTATGTTAGAGCCTCAAGAAAAGCAAGGGGTTGCTCGACACACACATAGAGAATTATTGCTGCCAGGTAGGACATCATCAAGATACCCAGATACTTCACACCCTGTAAGAGAATGCTGTTAAATTTATACCTGGAGCTGTAGTGATTTGCGGTAGATTCTGACAAAATATAAAGTACCGATTCGTTAGATTTTTGCTAGTGACAGAAACCTATTTTTATTTATATCTCAGAGAATTAAAAAGAAATGGAACAAAACTAAAATGAAGCTGTTTGACGTGAAAGAGGTCGTACCAGTTCAAAGTCAGGATTGAAGTAGAAAGGATGCCTGATTATAACCGCCAGCACTCTCATCAAGCCCAAATGTAAAAGGTAAACCGAGTAAGTGAGCCTAGCCAATACCAGCCAACCATTCCAGCTGAGAATAGAGTTGATGAAGCCGCCCAGACCGCTCTGACACAGTAAGATCTGTGCCGTGAGAGCGGTGGACCAGGCTATACGAGCCAAACTGCTGTAGGATATGCTGTCTGCTTCACCAGGTTGTTTGTTCTCTGCGAGTTTCAAGAGTGGGTTAGACTTTATCATTTTAGAATACGCGTCGATAATTGAATTGAGAAATATTTGGTTTCATCAATTAATAGAGTAATACGTAGTAACTGTAATATCTTTGAAGACGCAGTTTATTTTTCGTGGTATTTCAACATCGATATGTAAATTTCTTTTATTATACATTTACCTAGCCTAGCGTTCTTTATGTCGTCGTATAGCCCGAAGACAACAGCCCACTGTATAGCGCACGTGGCAGCCCAAATGGGACATGCTACAAGAACCTTCCTCCACTGCGGGTGCAAACAATAGTAAGATCTTCATTCTACAATTATAATCAATTTGGAAATATAATACCGTAAGATTAATCTTTATACTTCGATAAATGTTCAATGTTTAACACCGAGTCTCCGAAAACATCAAGATGTATAAATCTAGAATTATCCTTATAGAAGGTGTTATAGTTATTTTGGGGCTTGTTACACTGGTCATGAGCACGATTGAGGCAGAGTATTAAATATTGTACCTTTCCAACATTAGATTCCAACACATTGTGCGTACTTGTGAAAAGACCGACTGTTTTCCGAATTTGAGACCTGATCTAAATTTTCACTTTCTGATTGTCATGTGATATCGGATCTTATACTCCCAGCTTGTACTGAAAAACAAATCTGATCCGAAATTTAGACTACAGTCGCTGATTCAAAGGACTCCGACAGCGACTGTTGTCCGGAAAACTTAATTTCGGAATAGGACAAGAGTCGCTGTCGGACAAGATGAGAGCAACTGATAAGTACTTCCCTCTATAATACTATCTGTACTATGGTTATTACCGTTTCTGGTGACAGTTATTTTAAGAGACAGGGTTAGTTTCCAGTTTTGCGTCATGATTGGGCTAATTGATGTCTAATTGGGGTATAATCAGGGTTAATTCTTCCTGTTAGGGTTATAATCACTCCCTGCCCCGGTTCTCTTCAAATGGTGGTCGAACGGTCCCTACATTACTACTTGTACCTCTTACTGAACTCACCTTATTTGATACCTATTACTAAACTCACCTTATTTGATACCTTCTACTAAACTCACCTTATTTGATACCTCTTACTAAACTCACCTTATTTGATACCTTCTACTAAACTCACCTTATTTGATACCTCTTACTAAAGTCACCTTATTTGATACCTCATACTAAACTCACCTTATTTGACACCACCTACTAAACTCACCTTATTTGATGCCTCCTACTAAACTCACCTTATTTGATACCTCTTACTAAACTCACCTTATTTGATACCTCCTACTAAACTCACTCTTACTAAACTCACCTTATTTGATACCTTCTACTTAACTCACCTTATTTGATACCTCTTACTAAAGTCACCTTATTTGATACCTCCTACTAAACTCACCTTATTTGATACCTCTTACTAAAGTCACCTTATTTGATACCTCATACTAAACTCACCTTATTTGATACCTCCTACTAAACTCACCTTATTTGATACCTCTTACTAAACTCACCTTATTTGATACCTCCTACTAAACTCACTCTTACTAAACTCACTTTATTTGATACCTTCTACTTAACTCACCTTATTTGATACCTCTTACTAAAGTCACCTTATTTGATACCTCCTACTAAACTCACCTTATTTGATACCTTCTACTAAACTAACCTTATTTGATACCTCTTACTAAAGTCACCTTATTTGATACCTCTTAATAAACTCACCTTATTTGATACCTTCCACTAAACTCACCTTATTTGATACCTCCTACTAAACTCACCTTATTTGATACCTCTTACTAAAGTCACCTTATTTGATACCTCCTACTAAAGTTACCCTATTTGATACCTCTAGGGAGAGGGATCAGAGGGAGAGGGATCAGAGGGAGAGGGAGAGGGAGAGGGAGATGGAGAGGGAGAGGGAGAGGGAGAGGGAGAGGGAGAGGGAGAGGGAGAGGGAGAGGGAGAGGGAGAGGGAGAGGGAGAGGGAGAGGGAGAGGGAGAGGGAGAGGGAGAGGGAGAGGGAGAGGGAGAGGGAGAGGGAGAGGGAGAGGGAGAGGGAGAGGGAGAGGGAGAGGGAGAGGGAGAGGGAGAGGGAGAGGGAGAGGGAGAGGGAGAGGGAGAGGGAGAGGGAGAGGGACCTTATTTGATACCTCCTACTTAACTCACCTTATTTGATACCTCCTACTAAACTCACCTTATTTGATACCTCCTACTAAACTCACCTTATTCACCATTTTACAGGAGAACTTACAGTTTGAATAATGACTGAAAGAGACCTACCACTCGAAACTACTACTCCCCTCACTATGGAGGGATATGCGAGAACATTCGCCAGGTTCGTTTCTCACTCCAATCAATACGATATTATGGCTAGTATTGCCAAGAAGTTCATTTTAGAGAACAACTTTGACAAGGAGCCGGTGCATATGTTGAGCATTGGTGCCGGTATAGGAAATTTTGAGAGAATGTTGGTTCAGAAACAGGGGCTGAAGTTGGAGTATCTCTATGCTATCGAGCCGAATCCTGCCCATGTTCCACTTTTGGAGGCTGAACTGAAAAGTCTTGGTGCCGAGTACGATATCGATACATCATTCTTTAGCAAAGAGTTTGAGTTCGATGAGAAATACGGGAGTCCTCTATTTGACATCATAATGCTATCACAGTGCTTGTACACTGTCGAAGACCCATTTGAAGCGGTTTCTTACGCAGTAAAGTTTCTGAAACCCCATGGCAAAATTATCATATTCCTTGAAGGAGAATCTGTAAGTTCTGAGTTATACACCTACATGATAAACCGGAGTGATCCGAACATCTTTAGCTCCAGTCTGACACACGGAGACCACGCTCTCACGGCACTGAAGATAACGTCTTACATCCGAGTTAAACATCCGGAATTGATAGTTTCTGTGCTGGAGGATAATACCTACTTACACGTAGACGAATTTATTCGAGAGCAGGGTGGGTCGATGATAAACGATGACACTGACGGTGTATCCTTCCTCTTGCAGGCTGAGTACCAGGATTTAAGCGGGGAAGCTAGAAGAGATGTTTACGAGATTGTGAAAAGAAACTGTGATATTGTTGATGGTAAATATCTTTTAAGGATCTCTTGTGCAGGAATCATTGTTTCTCTGTCCAGTTAGGAATAGAGACACAAAATTTATCCGCCAACCTTTCGTTTTCGTTTACAGTTTCATGTTCTAAATGTCAACTAAATGTTTTTAATTTCATTTTCAACACATGCCTTTTAATCTCCAGTGTATCATATAACACAATTACTGCATAAGGAGGAGATTAAACCATGTCAAATATTGCCTCATCTCAATGACAGAGACAATTCAGTGAGTCAGGATGACACTGACCACGACGAAAATGAGCAAGCTCGAGTTCTTTTAAGGAAAGGAAAAAATCAGCGAAATGAAATTGTTAGACAATTTTTCGTGTCATAAAATGTTAAATTTATTTTGTTATATTATTATTCGTACTATTCGTAGGCAATTCTGTAATTTTACTTTTAATTTGCACCCTTCCAACTTGTTTTCCTTTTAATATTTTTGAGTTAGTACTACAATTTAGGCACTTAAGTAACCACTAGACCAAAATTCTCGAATTAAGTGAAAAGACTTATGTGCGAAATATGGCTTAAGTTTTCACACTTAAGTCTCATTTCGAAAATACTTTTTGCTTAACTTTTTACATTGGAGTAAGTATCATGATCAGATCAAGTGGTTCAGATACAAATATATCCCACCTCAGGCATCTTGTTAACACGGTCTTGCAAAGTCTGTCCGTATTTCCAATAGATCCAACCGCCAAGAATTCCGACTAAGTAAGCCTTTATACGTATCCAAGGTTTGTTGTACACGAGCCAAAAGTTATCATCGTTCAAACTATAAAGAGATTTGGTTATATTTAGATTCTTTCGACCGCACGAAGCCATGCGTATCAATACGTTATGCGATATAAGGGTCAGTTTTTGGTCATTTTTTGTGTGTTTTTATGCCGTTGCCGGGGAGATTTCGTCAAGTTTGGTAACAGATGGATCATGGATACGGTAACTCACTCAGCTGCTGAAGCAGGGCCCAGTCTGTAGTGATAGGTAATTATAGCAGTTGCTACTGTACTGGATAAAATAACAGCAACACTGGTTAATATCCCTGAGAAGTTACTTCGTTGCTTGGATAGTTAATAATGATTCTACCGTTGTGTCAGAAAACATGAATAGTCAACCATAATTAACAAATTTAATTCCCAACATAAATTCGGTCAAAACTTCCAACTTCACACGAAATAAAAACTGTAATCGCCCCAGGATAACAAATCGAAAACATCAACAATTTCAAACCTGTTAACGGTTTCCAAAAGAGAAGCACGACGAAGACAGGTGCGATAAGGTAGAACTGCATATCATTTGACAGGTACCAGGTCTGTCCCACACATACTTCCGTCGCTTTCCAGGGGACCAGGTTGTTGATATACAAGATATTTGCCCACCAGTAGTCTTGACATGCTTTATCCGGGCCGTCCATGGCAAAGGTTAGCGGTCCAGTCACCCACTGTCTGTACAGAAATCCCTGAATTAAAACATTACATAGAGTAAATAGAAAATAAGGGAAAATACGGGTAAAGAATAGAGGTGACGTAAATGATTAAAAAGTTAAAAATTAAGGTGCCCGATGTATGGGGAGATTAAGAATTAATCATGTTCTCACTCCTCTATAATCTATTTAAATAATCAGTAAGGAGAAAACGGGGGGGGGGGGGGGGGGGGGGGGGGTTTGGGGGGGGGGGTTCACCCTGATTTTTTTGTGAAACTTGGTTTCGAGATAGCAGTTGACCAACAAACTAGGACCAGTGACCGAACTTTTGAGGGGGTCCCGGACCCCAACCGCCAAACGGTGTCCGCGGGGCAGCCACGCCCATATTTGGTCCAAATTAGGCCCAATTTAGCCAAATACCCTGAACATAATCAAAATCCAGATTTTAGGTGCTCTACTTGTAGCTAGTGGTCCCCTGAACTCGTATATGGATTTTCATCAACATTGGACAAAAAATGACTGAGTTATGAGCAAAAAACCGTATGACCATATTTGGGCATACGCACCAAATTTGATCGAATTTGGCCCATAAATTGGTCAAATATCAATATTTTTGAATGAAACCAACTTTATATAAAAGGTAAGCCTATACTACACATTATCTATGATTATCAGCTCAGTATCTACCTAACTGTGGATTCTGTGTTCAAATAATCGCAAAAAATGAACAAAATTGCCCATATCTCAGTTCGCGATATTTGCAAAACTGTTTTCGCTCAAAACAATAGAACTCAATAGGGTTTCAATATTTTTACATGAAATTTTCAGAATCAACGTAGAATCGCATTTCGACCTTTTGTTTTGTATTGGAATTTTGAGTTAGGCCTTTAAAAAAATTTGGCGGCCAAATTCTGAATTTCGCATTGCAAATTTTGGCCGCCAAATTTTTTAAAGGCCTAACTCAAAATTCCAATACAAAACTTAAGGTCGAAATGCGATTCTACGTTGATTCTGAAATTTTCATGTAAAAATATTGAAACCCTATTGAGTTCTATTGTTTTGAGCGAAATCAGTTTTGCAAATATCGCGAACTGAGATATGCATCGATGGTAAATACGTCAAAAAATCGCCTGTAAATACGCCGTATTCAAAAATTCTAAGAAATACGTGAAATACGGCAAAATTTGGCGCTTAAATTCTTTGATGGTAAAATTTTTCAAAATACGCGCGTATCTCTTTCGAAATACGTGATTACAGATTAGTGATATTTGCGCGTGCGTCGCTGGCCCAGTGGTATATTAATATAGCAATACTGATAGTCGTTTTGGAGACTTCACGGTGCTCGAATGAAAACGCTGCAGCGACTTGCTATTCTTATGCTGAACCAACCAATCAGTCAGTCTGCTGCAGAGCAGAGCTTCTCAGGTTATAAAGCAGTTATGCCTCCCTCGAGGAATAGACTTTCAACCGAGACCCAGTTCCAGTGCATTTTTATCTATTGCAATATTCGCAGACTAAGATCACAAGTCTCTCTTGCTTGAATTTTGAAACCGGTTACCGGATTAACACGGACTTCCCAGTGGCATAAGTTTAAAAAGTGACTAGGAATCCAGCCTGGAAAGAAAAAACGGCTATAATAAACTTTTAAAACGGCTATAATAAATTTTTCGGCCGGATGACGATTTCATTTCACCTTGCTAGTTATATTACAGAGGTATTTTTAGTTATTCATTAGTTATTCATAATTGCCAAAAAGTATGGGAAAAAATTATCCTATCCAAGTCTCGAACTCGCAATCTGCTGATATGGAGCTAGCGTATTAACCAATTAGGCCACGATTCCATATACTGTAATGTAATATTTATATATAGATGTTCGCGCGTTACTGCAACTTAATTTGAAATACGTAATTTATCATCGGGAAATACGTATGCGTAGTACCTACGCGTAGTCTCCCCAAAACGCATTTACCATCCTTGGAGATATGGGCAATTTTGTTCATTTTTTGCGATTATTTGAACACAGAATCCACAGTTAGGTAGATACTGAGCTGATAATCATAGATAATGTGTAGTATAGGCTTACCTTTCATATAAAGTTGGTTTCATTCAAAAATATTGATATTTGACCAATTTATGGGCCAAATTCGATCAAATTTGGTGCGTATGCCCAAATATGGTCATATGGTTTTTTGCTCATAACTTACTTACTTTGGATACTTTGGAGAGATTCGCAGATTCCTCTACTGGGTCATCGAATAGTTCGACCGCCCTTGCAGCATCGCTGCTGCCTTATTCATACTCCAGTCCAGCAAAGAATTTCCATTAGGGCAGCTGTAATTGCTCACAGGTGGGTTATCTGGAAACGGTTTAAGAAATGCTGATAGTTTTGCTTTGAACTGCAGTGGGTCTTCAATGAGGTGAAGATCTGATGGAATGGTGTTCCATAAACGTGGCCCCATTACTGCAAATGAACCATCATACAATGACTGTTGACGTTGAGTACTGCTCTTGCTGAGACTTGGAATGGTGGCCTTGATTCCGTGTCTTGATGGAGTAGAAAAAAGAATCCCAAGGTCATTTGGGCAGCGTTGATGTAAGATTTTCCACATGTGGATGATAATATAACGCTCTCTCCTCCTTTGCATCGACATTAGATTTAGTGCTTTGAGCCGCTGCCAATAGTCAAGATGTTGAACACCCCAAATCCTTGAGGTGAAAGTACGCTGTACTCCTTCAATCTGTTGGATGTCTGAAATTTTACTGGTATTCCACAGAGGGCAGCAGTACTCTAAATGACTTCGGATAAGTGACTTGTAAAGTGTCAACATTGTGGTTCTATTTCTGCACTTGAACGCACTGAGCACCCAGGCTGCCACTTTTCTAGCTCGAGATGCCATAGAACTGACATGATGTGACCACGACAAATCCGAAGACACTATAACTCCAAGATCCTTAACTTGGTATGTAGGATAGAGCATATTACCGCCTGACACCTTGTATGTTTGTGTTTGACATACAAAAGGCAGCTCATACAGACTCTCATTAGGATTTCCCCGGTGAACTAGGAGCTCAAACTTATCCTCATGTAAAACCATGTTATTACGTTTGGCCCATGCAATGACATGGTCGAGATCTTGCTGAAGAACGATAACATCCTGTTCTGTATATATGTGCTTCAGTAAACGGGTGTCATCAGCAAAGAATCTTATAATTGAACCAGTCACACAAAGCTTCATGTCATTTATGAAGAGTATGAAAAGGAGGGGTCCAAGAACGGTTCCTTGGGGGACTCCACTGAGAACCAAGGCTGCGAAGGAAGACACCCCGTTCAGAACAACATGTTGATGACGGTCCGACAGAAAGAACTCAGTCATTTTTTGTCCAATCTTGATGAAAATTCATATACGAGTTCAGGGGACCACTAGCTACAAGTAGAGCACCTAAAATCTGGATTTTCGGCATGTTCAGGGTATTTGGCTAAATTGGGCCTAATTTGGACCAAATATGGGCGTGGCTGCCCCGCGGGCACCGTTTGGCGGTTGGGGTCCGGGACCCCCTCAAAAGTTCGGTCACTGGTCCTAGTTTGTTGGTCAACTACTATCTCGAAACCAAGTTTCACAAAAAAATCAGGGTGAACCCCCCCCCCCCCCCCCTTAGTGCAGGATAAAACCAAAAAAGCAGTTTCTCTGTGCTGGGTTATCTCAGGACACCCGACTTTCAGTGATTGAAACCAACCTCTAGTAACACGACCATTAGATAAGGAGCTGTCAGTCTCAGATAACGATGAAGATAATAAGCTACCCACTTAGCTACTCCCATCTTTCTAGGACCACCACTTTTAGCTAACTGTTTCAGCAACAAATACGCAACTAAGAAACCACTCAACGCGAAGAAGCTGTCCACTGACGGATTTGCGTTTATAATAATGGGACTATTCCTCCGGTTCAGCAGAGTCCCCAGATACATCTTGTCGCCGAGAAGTCCCATGTAGTTGAGATAAGTGTGTCCCAAAACCACCCAGTTTATGCTAAGTACCCTGATTCCGTTCAAACAGAGCACCTGTCCTGGCTTGGTGGTTGTGCTGGTGAGGCTCCCAAACGAGCGTTGCAACGCAAAACATTTCCAGAATCTGCTGAGCAAAGATTCCGTCTGTTGTTCAGGCTGAGCCACTGACCGAGGTTGGGCTGGTTTGCCAGCACTTTCACCCTCCTGCGGTGTGTCTGGAATGATCTCGTTATTCTCCTCACAATCCACCAGAACTTGTCTGTCTTCAGGAGGTCCAGAGGTGATGATACTCTTGATTACAGGATGACATGTGTACCACAGTGTCCCTGAAAATAGTGGGTTGTTGATGAGAGGCCGGCGTAATTATAAAGGGTCGATATTTTGTCTTTGTCACACCGAGCGTGCTAAATCACTCTACAGTCGATCTTCGAGATTGTTCTATAAGGGCCCCCGACAGTTGAAACCAACTTCAATCGATGTATTTTCGGACGCTGATTCCGAATCACCCCCTATGACATAGCGTTAAAATGCTGACGAGATATTGGCGAAAAACTGTCTCGATCACGTGATATGACCGTATAAGGAAGTTAGTCCAATTTATAATCGTTAGGGTTAGTGTTTCAGCATATGCTTTTGTTAAGGATTGGGTTAGGGTTAGGGTTGGGATCAGATTAGAGGGTTAGGGTTTCGAATATTCGTTCAGGACCAGCTACAGAACGAGTTGAAAAAGTCACGTGACAGTCGAGTGTAGATTGATTAATCATCATCCTTGTCACACTCGTATTATATTCACAAAATAAATATGCTGTAGCTTCTTCAAATTTGGTTGATTAAAACAAATTGATCTTTTGTCGTGATGTGCCATGTTAAAATGATTATTATAATATTATTCTTACCTAAAACAACAAGAAAAGCGACAATGCCAAGGTAGACGTATCCCAAAATAGCACCAGTACCGAGCTCTACATCAGTCTCGCAATTCATGGTCCCAGGCTCCAAGACTAGCTGCCCAAATGGTATGAACGAACTTATCCATTTCTCAACGTCTGTGTTGCTACCATTACGACATTCTACAGGTAGACACCCCGTCCAGTCAATTCTTATCGGATATCCCTGAGTAAGATAACAGATTAATTTAAGTAGATAATTAACCGGAAATCTGTGCAATCGTGCCGCAATAAGCTAGCTATTTATTAACCAAAACGGTTGTTCATTTTAAATGTATCTTAAATAGCTACCAGTTGGCAGTCACTATATTTATTACTTAATCACATGGCTCATGGCTGACCTGACTCTCACATCATGTCATCGTACGTACTGGCAAGTACAATTTCTAACAAACATGCGCGCGCACGCGCGTACGTACGTACGTGACGCGCGATAAAATGTCATTTAACACTCCGCGCGCTCCGTAAAGAACTGGTAACCAGCTTTTGTGTGACAGAAAAGTGGCCCCACAATATGTCTTTTAACTTTCAACCGAACGTCTGTACTTACTAATATTATATACACTTTATCCCTTATCGCTAATTTTATCTTGTTCATAAAATGATTACACTTTTCCATTTTAAAGGCCAGCAATTATCTTTTCATTGCTGTATATCCGAGTATATCGCTCAAATTCTATTTATAGATTTTCTCTTCTATTCTGTGTAAGTTGTATTATAAATACTGAGTGTGTTTTTAGTTGTTTCGGTTTGATTTTCATTTCTTTGATAAAAAACACTATTGCTGACCGCTGGAGTAAATGAAGTAGAAGACTAGATTAGATACCAGACACCATGCTAAAATTTATTCTGAACAAACAGTCAACACTTGCCATCTAAATTCAGTTTCCTTTGAACTGGATGCAGTGACATTACCATCTACTGGCTAAGATTCAAATGTAGAATTAACCATTGAGAAGGCAAAATCAGACTTACGAAAAGTTTACCCGGGGCACCCACATAACAGAAGTTGTAGTAGCCGGCTGTAGCATTCTTGATACTCAGGCACATGTCATATCCTCCCATCATAAGCAAGTTCCCTTGAGTCAGTCCGGGTCCTGGCTTCCCAGCCGCATCAAAAACTGCAAAACATCTCACGTGAGAAAATAATGTGGCAAAGCTACTTAGACATGATATGTCACCATGTGTCAAGTCTCGTTAAAAGACTTGACATGGCCATCATCATATCTATTAAGCATCCTTTACTTCAATCTTACAGTCACCACTAAATAACCAAATGATGCTGAAAGCTAAGTGAGGGCCTGAAATCATGTATTAGGAACTGGGGATACTCACAAGCGATGCTTTCCTGGTTGAAAGTCGTCAGCCCGTTATACAATCCCTTGATCTTTGTCAAACATAGCGAGTCAGCCACATCAGACAACTTGGGTTCTTCTCCCAAATTTATTCCCGGAAGTGAGAAATTCGTTAAACCGGGGTTGAAATCACCAAAGATTGGGTTAAGGTCTTGGGAGGAAATAGGTATTTGGATCTGACAACATACGGCTGTTAGGACACTAAACAGTACGGCATTCTTTAATGACATCAGCTATCTAGATAATGTGCATTTAGTTATTCAAATAGTTTATATACATGAAGTATAGTGATTTTGTAGTATTTATCATTACATCTTGTCTCCATGTTCTGAATACACATCTAACGTTACGCATTTAAGCTAATTTAATGTTTTTTAACACTTGACGATGTTGATCATTGAAATCATATTCGTAGAAAAAAGTATATCTTGTCCAAACAGTTAGTTTTTTGTGGTACTAACTCTAATAAAAGTTAGAATTCAAGTTGACGGTAGAGCACATAAGGCTGTGACAGTGACTTTTTACATAAGGTCATCCCGATATTCACTGATGATTTTATTGGATAATCAAATAATCTTATATAACCAGGTTACTTTCTTCAAATATCTAAAGTTTGCTCTCTTAATTACACCAGACTACGTAATAGACCATATCACTTTATTTTCTGGAACTACAATTCAGAGGATAAGTAGAGCTTTATATAGTAATATTACTCCAGAGTACATGATGATTAACTCCAAAGTGAAAACCGACTTCAAAGTTCAGAGGTCAAACTTTATTTACCTACTTTCTGTTGAAAAAAGAGGTTACTTTTTCATATAAATGATAATGTTGTGGTGGCTGGAATTTGTGTAATACATAGCAAAACAATAAAAACGATTTTAATTTATACAGAAGAGGACAATAATAGAAAATCAATTAAATTCACCAAAGCAAATTGTAAAAAGTTTACACCCAACAAACTAAACAATACATACACTCAAATGTTTAACAAAAATTAATCGAAACTTGAAACACCACTAATATGGAAGCTTCATAGTGTGATATCTGACAATTACAAACAATAAAATCGGACACAAATTTTAAAAGTGAGCGAAAACCGTAAAAAAGTTGAAACTTTTGCTCCAAAAAGGTGACTACTGGATTTCACAAAATGAAACCCTTGGCAGTCACCAAATAAAATATCAGAGCAATACGTACAGAAAACGTTTTAGCGTGAATGTCCAGTTTACAAGCTTCTGATTCTAACTGTCTGAGTTAAACTAAAAATGCCTCTCTCCCATCAGAAAAAAAAACACTGAACTAGCCGGAAAGAGGTCTCATCATTTACGATAAGTCATTCTCTCAAGGAAAGTAAGAGGTTGTTCCACACAAGTAAAGAGGAGAGCTGCAGCAAGGTAGGACATTCCCAGGAAACCAAAGTACAGAATGGCCTGAAATAACGAGGTTAAACGTGGGTGGCACAGAAAAAGAAATTGTGGATAACTTTTGCGCTATGATCTGAACGAGCAAGGAGTCCCTTTAATAAAGTGAATTCTTGTAATTTTGTTATAGACTTTGTAAATTTTAGCACAGCATTCGCTTGATAAATGATATTTGATACTCACGAAGGTGTTCATGGTTAAACGAATTTTAATTACAATAGTATTCCATTAGCTCATATTATCGATATTACTAAATACCTATTTGAGATTATATCTGCAATTATTACACTCACAATTTCATAATCCGGCTTGTAGAAGAAAGGATGTCTAAGTTGAACTATGAAGGACTGTATAATGATATAATGTAGAAGATACACTGCGAACGTTAACCGGGACAGAACTATCCAACCCTTCCAACTCAATACTTTATTTATTATTCCTGGGAATAGAGTGTTATTCCAAACCGGAGTTTTAGCTCTCGTTGAAAAGAATAAATGCGGATTGTAATTAACCCGTTGATTTACACCACGATGAGGAATGTTCATTGTTCACTGTTAAGAACTAAAAATGAGCCCATCCCTAACCTCCTAATCCACACTGACAACTGACAATCTGAACCAGTAAAGCTATCCCCCAACTAGATCTAGCAAATGTCTTACCTCCTAACCCACACTGACAACTGACAATCTGAACCAGTAAAGCTATCCCCCAACTAGATCTAGCAAATGTCTTACCTACTAACCCACACTGACAACTGACAATCTGAACCAGTAAAGCTATCCCCCAACTAGATCTAGCAAATGTCTTACCTCCTAACCCACACTGACAACTGACAATCTGAACCAGTAAAGCTATCCCCCAACTAGATCTAGCAAATGTCTTGCCTCCTAACCCACACTGACAACTAACAATCTGAACCAGTAAAGCTATCCCCCAACTAGATCTAGCAAATGTCTTGCCTCCTAACCCACACTGACAACTGACAATCTGAACCAGTAAAGCTATCCCCCAACTAGATCTAGCAAATGTCTTACCTCCTAATCCACACTGACAACTGACAATCTGAACCAGTAAAGCTATCCCCCAACTAGATCTAGCAAATGTCTTACCTCCTAATCCACACTGACAACTGACAATCTGAACCAGTAAAGCTATCCCCCAACTAGATCTAGCAAATGTCTTACCTCCTAATCCACACTGACAACTGACAATCTGAACCAGTAAAGCTATCCCCCAACTAGATCTAGCAAATGTCTCGTACATCACACTCCCTGTCAGACTTATATTTTCTCCAGCTGTAGGATATTAGGGTCAGCAATATACTCATATCAACATTCGGGAAACTAGACATTTATGTGACAACATCATTACTGGTCACATGGTTATATAACCGTTAACTCGACCACACTACTGCACTCGATATAACAATGTAGTACCATAAGTTGGCACAGTACCAAGACAGTATTTTACCCACATGTCTTCTTGAGCATATCATTGTGAAGACCGAATGTAACCCAGTACTGGACAGTGCAGGTAGTTATCCAGATTACCACACTGAGTAGCAGCCTCGTTATCTGCGTGTAACAAGGAGTTAGTGCCCACGTGTTAGTTAGTGCCCACGTGTTAGTTAGTGCCCACGTGGTGCATCACAAGTAAGCAAGTATCACGTGATGTATTACTAGTACTAGTCGGAGAGGCCATACATTTGTAAAATAATCTTGTGATGAGTACTAGTTGTTGTACGTCATGTGGTATGTATTCATCTATAAACAAGTTATACTACAATCTGCACTGCTGAGTACAAAGTAGGGTTACATCTCAATATTTTTGCGCACATTCTCAAGTTCACTAAAAAATATACAATCTTAAACACTACTATGGTAGTTTATTTATAGTTGGAACTGATAACAAAGGCAAAAGAAGCGTCACATACGAAGCGGAGTCGGCTGATATACAACTTGAGACTGTCCAGGTTCTTGAAGCAAAACCAGCCTCCAAGCAGTCCTATCAGATAGGGAGGGCAACGTATCCACGGCTTATCGTACAGCAGCTTGAAGTCTGTGAAGTTGGCAGCATTCGGACTGAAAATAGTTGCAGGGTCAAACAATGGAATTGAGTTTCAATGCTATTTGTGGCGCCCGCAGTGCAGCTTACTTAATTTTTATGTTAAAAGTACACTGGACAAGTTGCATCATGTAACAAGATCTCTCAAAACTTGTCGATACATTCTGCCTTAATTTTTGCTTGAAACTTCGAACTCTAAACTGAATACCCCATGCGTTATGTCATAACCACGCATTGAAATCCAGAATTCCATTGTTCAATTTTTCAATCGGTCCAGGATAGGCTGATCGTGTAAAACCAACCTTAGGTATATTTTGGCAGATTTATTATTGAATTTATCCGGAATACTTTACAAGTATTGTAAATTGTAATAAACTTGTGGTTGAAACTTACTCGAATACAGTGGAAGGGCCCAGGTTATAACCGTAAGTAATGACGCCCGCAGCCACACAACTACAGACTAGCGTAGTCATTGTTACAGCAATTCCTGGGGGAAATAATAGTAGTTATATCAGAATTTATCATCATCTGGAATAATACTGATTCCTGATCCTGTCCATATTCAGCATATTGTCATTTGTCATAGCATTGAATAGTAAAGGGGCTAAGCACGTCTCTAAAAATTTACGTTTGACTTTGCTTCAAATAATCTGAACTTTACATTATCTTATCTCCCGTTATAATGTTCTCAGGTTATCAGGTTCCCAAGTTCTCAGATTTCTGTTATAATGTTCTCAGGACCTAACATTTTGCCTCACTACTACTCAAAGCACAATTTCAACTGTATTGTCTAAAGGATCCCTCTAACTCTGTGGGTTGTGGTGGATTTTCCAGTAATTTAAAACTGTGAAATTATAGAGGACACTATTCTGTAGCTCATAATAAGGGACACTCCAGTTGTATCCTAATTCTATATAGAGGCCACTATTCTGTAACCCATAATAAGGGACACTCCAGTTGTATCCTAATTCTATATAGAGGACACTATTCTGTAACCCATAATAAGGGACACTCCAGTTGTATCCTAATTCTATATAGAGGACACTATTTTGTAACCCATAATAAGGGACACTCCAGTTGTATCCTAATTCTATATAGAGGACACTGTTCTGTAACCCATAATAAGGGACACTCCAGTTGTATCCTAATTCTATATGGAGGACACTGTTCTGTAACCCATAATAAGGGGCACTCCAGTTGTATCCTAATACCTAGTGGTAACCCTACGTTACCACCAGGCGTGATAGCATTCATTTGCTTGCTACAACCTTCCTGTATCTTATCTTCTTATCTCAATCTCGTGACAATGGGAATTGCTTTTTGTTTGTATAAGCTTACAGTATCCTAGGTTCTTATCTCTTGACGTACATGCATTTCTTTAAGTGCTCAAATTTCAATGAACTGATAAGATATGATGTCATCCAATATTTGCAGTCACGCACCTTCAAAGCAGTTCACACTCTATTTAGCAGAAATTAGAGCAATTCCTGTAAATCAATGGAACGCAATGCTTTGGTGATATCAGATTTGATTCCATTTTGAAACGAATAAAACTGAATCTGTGCTTATTCAATTAAATACCAACCAGTTCTAGGTGATTTGTAAAGAAGCCAGATGAAGAGTGGGGCTACAATGAAGAACTGGAAATCATTAGATAAATACCAGGACTGTCCAACGCATATTTCTAGCTGAAATTTCATATTGTATAGTTAGTTAAATGGTGATGAAGCTGAAGGAACAAAAATAGCATATAATTATTACATTATTCACGAAATTTATCAGAATCTGGTACAATTCAAGTAAATAACAATTAATATAAGGAGGAAAATATAGATCCATCCCAAAATAAAATGTTACTGAATAATGTAATAAATCTAAAACACTCACTTTGTTCCAAGGGACGAAGTTGTTGATGTAGAGAATGTTAGTCCACCACCACTTGTTACAGTTTTCACTACCCTAGTGTTATCAGTTATAGTACACAGAACACATTACATTTAAATCATCCTCAATAAAGCTTGGTACTGTGCACTTTCAAGCCACAGGTTTTACCATTAACCACAACTAGGAATCAGGCCTGCGAACTTAACTATCAAATTCCTGATTTGTAATAAACTTAAAGGTTAATTTAACAAACTACTCGGCATTGCTACTAACTTTAGTAAGGATGTCCTCAAACGGGCCCCTAATAAATATCTGAGCAAGAAACCCTTGTCCAAGAGTCACGACAAGAAACGGTACAGTTAACCGTAAGTATCTGTGTAGATAGTAACCAACAGCGTTAAACTTTCCTCTTTTTGCCAGGTCTTTTGAGAGGAGAAGAGAAACAAGGAAACCGCTAAAACGAATGATTTTAAAACCTTACATGCTACGCTTACACCAGTAAAGAAGTAAATTTTTGAAGTCAATTATACTGCTCAATAGTTTCCCAGAATAGATTATATCACCCTATAGCTGGGTTATTTGCAAATTAATATGACACGATATTGAATAACTAGAATAGCAATAAACAAACCTTATGAAGAAGAAAGTATCGACTGCTGGTAATGCATTATAGATTATTGCCATTGGAATTTTACGCCACATGGATATGTAGTCAGTGTAATCTGAAAACACATTACACTCAATTTACACTAAATCAGTGTTACTTCCAAAAATATCAAGTTTACCATACGTACATTTATCGATTACACAAACATTAATAAAATTACTAACATCAAGCAAATATCAAATAACGATAAATCTCACGTATTTTAAAATAAATCGATATAATGTATAATTATTGTGGACGCAATTTTAGTTGACACAAGCTAAGAACACCTTCTGTACAGCTTGGTGAATCAACATGAACAACACTGCAGAGACTACTCAATGCCAAGGTACCTCATTAAGAAAAAAGAGTCAACAGAAGGCAAGCCATTCCAAGTGAAGGTAAATGTGTTTCGTCGATAAAGCGTGTTAATATAGACCAAATCACCTCGATGGATTGAAATTTAAAGGAGTTTATGGTTTTCACTGATGAGTGATGATAGAAAAATTATCAATCAAATCATGCAAGATACTCTAGAACCAACTAGACTTGTCAGTATATTAATTGTTAAACTAACTGTAAGTGTATGCTAAGATCACCTGCAGCTCCAAGTCCGATATAGTAAACATGGCCCAGAACAACCCAATTTATACTCAGGACTCTGATTCCGTTCATGCAGAGGATTTGTCCCTCCTTGGTAGTGGTGTTTAGAAGGGCTCCAACTGTTCGCTGCACAGAGAAACACTTCAACACCTCGCCTGGAATAGAAACACCTTTTAGTAATAATAATCTTAACTATAGAAAAATGTTAAAGTATTTTATCATGCATTGATCATCATTCATCATGGATAACTGAGGAAGACTAATAAATAGATGTTTCAATCCAACCCTAACTTATATTCACCCCCATCGTAGAAAAAGTAAGACTGTATTACTGTTACCTAAAGTAGAGCTTTTAAATGGGTCCAAGACAGGTTTTGACTGGACAGCAGGACTATCTGGGACAATCTCATCCACTGCACCACCTTCTTCACTGTTAACCAGAACCTTCCTCTCCTCTGCTACTTTCAGAGATGTCACGAGCATCACTACAGGGTCCCACATACTTCCGACTAGCACCATGAACGCAATCACTGATATCAGGACAATAGCACAGTACGATCCAGCGCTATAGTTGTAATCTGTATCACATGTTGTGACTACACTACTTTCAGCTATGTGCACTGGATCCCACCGGCTGTTTATTATTTTGAGTAAACCCTGCTTAAGGGAAGTGAAGTTGCCACCACGACATTCTTGTGGAAAACAAACTGTCCATGTAAGTGGGGTGCCACCAACTGAATTGTTGCCCTGCAAGAAATAATGTAATATTACAAACTGTTTTATGGAAAATTACGGCAGTATCTAGATAGCCTGACCCCTGTCCGCGGACAACTGTCCACGAACACCTGTCCACCAGATCATATTACTGCATAATAACAGTATCCCCTGAATCAAGCAGGGTTCACATCATCGATCCTCGATGGGATTCTACATACCACTACAAAAAGATAACAAAGCTTTGTCCTGTGCATCAACTCCCGGATTGATTGTAGCGTAGTATATTGCTCAATGAAATAAATGATTACGATTTAAATGTGGCATATAAGTCGTTCGTTTTTGGTGAAGTATTATCAGTTGCCATCATCAATAACTCAATAACAACAACAAAAACTATTCCAATTCCTGACATGGTACTCTTCCGTCTAATAGACGAAATGAATGGACCCACGACCTCCCCAGAGAATGCTCGAGACTTCCTATTCCAGAAAAGCCTCCTAAAGAGCTCCATGTCCTGTCCTGGGTGTAACGCATCTATGTCCTCTGATGCAGTAATATGATCTGGTGGACAGGTGTTCGTGGACAGTTGTCCGTGGACAGTTGTCCGCGGACAGGGGTCGGGCTATCTAGATACTGCCAAAATTACAAACTAGCATCAGAGATTCAAGATATCAAATATATTTTGATAGTAGTATCCAATAACTTATAAATAGCGAGTATAAAACGTTTCCAAGAAATTAAGTAAGACTAAGTACCATTGTTAGGGGGTGCACTACCTACCATTGTCATAAGAGCCTTTATTTTACAGGGTTTGTAGTTGCTACCATAGCCCGCGGATTTGATCATAGATGTACATGTGTCATAACTTCCCATGAGAACTGTGTTACCATTGAGAAAACCACTTGGAGGTTTACCAAGTGCATCAACAACTGAAAGACACTAGTAATAATTTTGAAAACAGTTGACAGAAATTTTTAGCCCCCCACACGTCCCACATCCTATTATATTCCTGAACTGACATGAAACATTTTAAACATAAATATATATCATGTACAAATATCTTACATTTGAGACTTTCTTCAGTTTTCAAGGACTCAACAAGCGACAAGACCTTTGTTTCACAAACTTTGGAATCATCATCTTTAGAGTCCACAGACTGTTGAGAATAAGATAACAACTGGTCCCTTAGAAAGTTTACTGGACTTCTTATCAAGTTCTGAAGCTCGTTGTTGATCCCAAGAGTAGAAAACACTGTATTAACAGGATTTTTAAAATGGAGATCGTAGTTTTGGCTGTGTACTGACTGGATGTAGCTTAAAACTATCAAGGCCACCCAGAGTACCATCCTACGAGATTAATATGAAGGTTGTTTAAACACATTGAAAATACTGTTAAACCAACACAATTACAAATACTCAAATAGGACTACAAGTTAAGGTTACACATCTCAATATAAGTCACTTGTCTCTATAATGAAAATAATAATTATTATTATTATAAAACAGGATCTTACCGACAAAAATGATTCTTAAAAATACCTTAATGCGGTAAACTGTACCCTTGAAAAAGATTTTCCCAACATCTGTTGCATGCAGCTATATCTCTAATTTCGTTCAATTCATGCAAGTTGTCCATTTGCAAATTTCTACTACTTAAATCCTTCTTAAAACCGATAACAAGTTCATTCTAGGTCTCCCCAATCTACCAATGAATAAATTATCTGATTCAATGAAAATAATAATAATTTAAACTTTTACATTATAATGTTACAACAACTTAAATGCACAGGTTTGCCACAAAAACAATTCAGGACACAAGAAAACCTGAAAGAGCAATCACAATTAGATTCTAAACCATGAAAAACTCAATTAAAACAATCAGAAATATATTTTGTATATAATAATCAAGACCTTTAGACCAGATAATTTAATAGGAGACTTGGAGTAGCTAGAGAGTGACTAGAAAACTGTTAAGACTTGATACACTAAATAACCTGTTTATAAGTATGCACTTACCAGTAGAAATATTTAAGAAAATGCTAAGATTAGGCAGCAGCTTAGAAAACTGTATATGGCACTTGCCATATTACTTACTTTACTTAACTTTATTACACCGACTAGATTTTGTGATAATTTCAGAACCAGAAAAAGGGGAAACAAATTCAAAAATGTTTGCTAATGATGGTGATTGTGTGTGCTGCTTGATAACAATTTAGTAGTTAACGGTGTACTGAAAAATACACGAGCACATATATATGGATAAGCAATAAGCATAATAATTTATAACAATAACTATAGTAAATTATAATGGTTAGAAAACAGCATCAGAAGATTGATAATTTATAAAGCTTAAACCATGATACTGAGTTGTGTCACACATATATAATACACATGACACACAAAATACTTGCTCCCTTTTTTGAAGATTCGGATTGATGTTTATATTTGCAATCGTAGGGCTGGAGAATGAATTGTTCTTATTAAAAAAGAGCTAGTGAAAAAGGTAAACTTTTTATGGATCTTTCCAGTTTGATCCATTAAAATTTGTAAAATTTAACGATCAAGGGTTTTTCAGGGGGCTGAAACCAGGTTTTCGATCAAACGCTGCCATTTGTAGCCATTTGTCGCCAAACACAACTAACCTCATAATACAGTTGCTCTCGTCCAATGAAATCGCTGCATTTTGCATAGGGATGGATATTAAATTGAAAACTTTGTTTTTTAATATTTCAACAACGATCAATTGCAATTTTGTATACATATTAGCATATTACATGTATAAAATTTAAATTAACTGCTGACCGAGACTTGTCCGACGCGCTATTAGCTTCGTAGCACTTGCCTCGGGCCAATATTTCGGAAAAAAGCGCGGCACGCGCTACTTTGAAGAAATTTAGACCGTACCAGTAAAATTCATAAAAACTAGATTAAATATGAAATTTAGATTTAAACGTGCATTAGTTTTTAATATATGCTTGTATATTGCTTGTATTAATATAATTTGAAATTGATTTAATTGTCAATAATCGCTTTTAATAGTATAAATTTAAATAATAATTTGTAATTGCTCCAAATGTTTTAGCGCCGCGCACTAAAAGTTTTTATATTTTTGTTTTGTTCATGCTGAACAAACAAAATTTTTGTGCAACTTTATGCCAACTCTATGCTACTTTGTATCACGTGGTGACCCCCACGGTCGCTTCACCTGTATAGTTTCGACGATACAGGGGGAGCCCCGCACTCGTGCGCGGCGGGTCATACAACGTATGACAAATGCTACTTTAGCTAGCTTATTTAGATCATTTGCTCGCTTTTGATTTAATTGGCGCTGGGCTCAGCTTGTCATTCCGCCATATCTTTAAAAATTTTTATAAAAATTAAGCCTGGCTTGCAAGGTAAAGAAAATTGAAATCCCGGCAATGTACCAGTCCCATGAAAATGAGAAAAAGCGATGTTACAACGCAAGGGTTCTTGAAGTGGAGAAAGGAAGCTTCACACCTTTAGTGTTCTCGACTTCTGGTGGCCACCAGAAGTAACTGTGTGATTTTATATAGGGTCATTGCTATATTATGTGTATATTGTTTGAATAATTTTATAGTATAGTATATACAGTATATAAATAGTGATCAAATTTTTATTTTGCGGCCGGTTACATATAAATGGAAAGCGAAAATGTGTGGCGCTCAGCCTGTCATTCCGCCAAATTTCTATTATATGATTATGAACATAGCCTGGGTTCTCCAGGTAAAGAATTTCATGAAATGTGAATGGCATGCAACATTTTCTAAAGAAAGAGTCTACAGATAATTGTAGCAATGGTCATTGTCCAGCTACATTGTCCAGCTATTATATGCAAGGTTAGACATCCCCAAAAATATACTACAGATTAGTAGATTAATAATTGAAATGAAACATCAAAAAGTTTTAAAATCCTAGCATAGTAGAAACTAGAAACTCTTTTATTATATGAAAATTCTATGCAGAGCCTTATTATTTCTCGATCTGCCATTTTCACATCACTACTGCTTTTAATATATTCCTCTTTCCCCCTAGAATGGAATTTTTGTCTTCTTGAATGACCTTTGTTCTTAATAGGTCAAATCTCGCCCGGCCCCTTTTATGATTAGTGTCATTGCCTCATGACATTATTTAATCAGACTTTTTGTACATCTTCTCATCTGCTTAAAAAAAGATATTGCCTCCTATTCCACCTGTTCTGGATGGAACTATTGGTGTAAATGTTCCGTATTCAGCTTCAATTTAATCCTTTATATTAGCTTCTATTTCTTTATTTATTTTCTTTCCTTGGCTTCTGCCGGAAACAGAAGGGGTTCTGGGGCAACTTTGCAGCCAGTAGTTTATAAGAGCTCTGTTAGCAGATCTCTCGAAGTATTGTGACAAAGAATGACATATACACCAAATTTGCGAATCAAAAAAAGATATGATTGATTGAGGAGCACTACCCAGAGGCATTACTCGGCACTAACGCCTTAAAATCTTTAATTACAATCAAATATAAATATATGCACACAATGTATAAAATATGAATAATGTATAAAATATGATTACGCTATTAGCAAATTTGAATAGTACTACTATATGAGTCACACTCCCACATTCCCATTTCTTCGCCGAATCTTTGATTTTAAAGTTGTATCTTAGAACTAGTGCACACCTTGACAATACAACCTTTAGGATGAAAAAACTTGAGATGCTGAGGACCAAGCATCAGTCACAGAGACGACGGCGACTCACTATCATCACTCTAAGCATGGCAGTATTTCATGTATTTTTCACATTTATTGTTAAGGACTGTATAATTTGATTTATGTGTTTGTATTGTAATGGAGTGTTTGGAATGCACCTCTACTTTACACATTTCAATTTGTTTTGCTTTGCTAAATATGCTCTCCTGTAAGCTTATAATTTGATTAATTTAAGATGTTGTATGTAATGAAATATTGTTCCTGAATTTTACATAAGGTAAGTACTAGGTATGATGTTGGGACACTTGCTTATTATTTCAGATGTTATGAGACGTTTATAACAAAATGAACTTGTAGTATAAAGCATTGATAAGGTTTTTTGTTGTTTTATTAAAATTATGGCAAAAAATGTCAACTAATAATGAAACAAAATATGATCAAACCCCAACAAACCTTAACTTCGATTGACTAAAAGAAGGGTTTTCCAAAACAACACTTCTCATCCAAAAATGGAAGATTATTTCAGTTTCCGTACGCACTATGATCCAGTAAGTTGCATTATAATCTGTGAATATTTTGCTAAATCGAAAGATCTAGTAATCTATGAAAAATTAAATAATTCACAAATTCTAATCAAAAGAAATTCAAATCACAGAAGAGCTACTCAAGTTAAATACTATAAATGAATATTCAAAGTTTAAAGTGAAAGAAGATATATGAGATTGTGACGTTAATTCAGTGTTTTAAATTACTGCATAATCAGATCAAAATAACAAATCAGCTATATCCCCTCTACCTTTATACCTTTTTTTCGGCTCAGGTTTATTCTATGTGATATATTATGTCCCATTCCAACTATGAATTGGGTGCCAATGGGTCAGCTGTCACTTTGTTTGCGGATCCAGAGAATGCTGTCTCAGTTAACGAAGGGGTCACCTTGATACCGTGGATGGGTGATAGTTCAAACCTTATCGACAGGTATGTTGCATAGCTTGAATGGATTTTTCTCCAGTCAGGGAATTTAACAAATTAACTGCTGTGGTAATCTTAAATTAAATTAAATTTCTCAAGTCAATTTATTCTATTTTATTTCTTAGAACATTAACAAATGAAACGCAGGTTTGCTATTTTGGGGGACTACGAACCCCCTTCTGTCAGTTTCAAGCTTGTCACCCTAATAACATAGTGAGCTGTTAAATAAATCTATTAAGTTTTCTCAATATCTAATATAAGTTTTCTGGATATCTAATTCTTCTCTGATATTTGTATTTATCTTCAGGTATGATGTAAGAGGTCATCTGTACTCTGAAAGTGAATTTGGACTGAGAAAAAACGACACAGATGTTGATATAGAGGAGGCAAAACTTGAGGAAGAGCTTGATAAGGAGAGGTTTATGTTTCTTACTGTCGATGAGCTGGAATTCGAGGCGTATCTGGGTAAGTCAAATTCAAATTTCAAGCAGATATCAAAACATGCTGTTAAATACAGATTTTGTGTTATATTTGTTTGCATGCTATTTTCTACATTCCAGAGTTTCTAATTAGATGGTCGGAGCTTGGATATTTACTGCACTGAATGATGCACTGTTTAAAGTCGGAGTTCTATTTCTTTCCTTTTTTAATTCCACTTCCAATAATTAATGAACAATGAACATGCTAATAATCACGGTTCCTGTGTAGAGGAAGAAGAGAAGAGATTCAACAATAAGAAAAAAGCGGGAGGACCGTACCTTCAAGTTGACTTCAGTTACCAGGGACCATCAGGTAATAATTTAGTTTCTAAGAGTGATACAAATTGCCATAATTTATGACAGGGTTGGCACTGCAACTGCTTTAAAACTTAACTCCCAGTTTAAAACAAATTCTAAGAAAGGTAGTGTTCTCTGCAGTGTTGTTGTTGTTGTAAAGACCCGTATAGAGCCACCTCTAAGGGCTTTGAGACAGTTTATTAAATATAATATAATAATCAATAATATCGAAAGTCGTTTCAAAATATTTTCAAACTCAAAGTTGAAATCACACTCACACTAAAAAGATCAATTGTTTTGTCAAATAGTAAAAATTAAAAAAAAAAAAAAAAAAAAAAAAAAAAAAAAACTCTCGACACATTACAGTACGTAAGCATGATTAGCATCAGCATGCCTTTCATTTTATTTGTACCACTTAAGTCCCAGAACCTTTTATCTTTTAATTCTGCTTGCTATAGTTTGTTATAATATACGGCTATTCTAATTTCTAGAAATTTTCAAGCGTGACGATGAAAATTTTATCGCGAGAATTATCTTTAAGATTTTGTGCATTAAAAAGCCGCGCGGAGTGGGGTAAGGCTTGCTGTTATCAGCGCTTTGGCAGTGAAAAATATGCTGAAATATGTCAGTCCATTAAGCGAACGTTGTTTATTACTGCTCGTTTATTGTGTGTTTGCTGTCGTCCTATGTTATGTTATGTTATGATATGATGTCATGATTTAGCGATTATTGGTCGCTGTATTACTCAATCATCCCTCATCTATTGGACTTCCTCAAACCAGGTACGTTGTGTAGCAGAAATGCTGGCCAGCTGTCCTCTGAGTTAGCTAGTGTTGACTGTTGCTCAAGAAGCACGCGTTTTGCGTTCGATTTGTAAATATTTATTGAAAATAAGCTAGGTAGGGACGTGATGTTCTTGTTGGTGTCTGTTAGAGCTAGTAAAGGTCCTTTAAAAAAGATGGATGCTTTGAAACATCGGTTATTGTACGTATCTAGCCATTCGCTACTGTTCTCATGATTTGAACCATGCGTGGGTATGTTATCTGGAAACAAATTTCTAATTGATACAGGTACTGTGTTAGGAAAGTGCTTCATGCGGTGCATTAATGTAAGCGCATTCTTTACGATGATGCCGTGTATTGTCAAAATCTCAAATTTGCAGAATGCTTCTCTGGTGTGAGCTGGCAATTTGCCGTCTTTGTAAAAGTAATTTACATATCCTGGCATAACCATCCGCATTCCTTGCTTTTGTTTACGGAATAATGTCTCAATGTGACATTTTGCCGCGAATCCCCAGGCTAACGAGCAGTAGTTAACATGTGCCTCAATAAAACTATGGTAGAGTTGTAGTCGCACTTTTAGGGGCAGATGTCGTTTTAATTTGAAAATGATGCCTATGTACCTACTCATTTTTAATCTTACCGCTGTGATATGTTTACACCATGTTAGTTTCTCATCAATTATAACACCCAGAAACCGTGCCTCAGTAACCCGTTCAATGTTTGTTCCAGATATGTTGAGACTTATTTTGGAATAATCTACTTTACGGTTACTGAAGACCATATAGTGGGTCTTCTTCAGGTTTAAAGAAAGCCCGTTGCTACTTACCCAATTCACTAGAAGTGTTGCAATCATAGAGAGCTTACTTTGAATTTCTTCCTCGTTATGGCCCGTGACTATAATATTTGCATCATCGGCGTAAAGTATGAACTTGGCCAGGTCTGAGATTCCGGGGAGGTCGTTTATATAGATGACGAAGAGTAGGGGGCCCAGAATAGAGCCTTGAGGAATACCATAATTGATCGTCTTGGGACTGGAATCAACCCCGTTGACTGTGACGAACTGATGACGATCGTGAAGATAGGAGTCGAACCAGCTTAGTGCTATACCTCTAATTCCGTAGTGTTCCAGTTTTTTAAGCAAAATTTTATGTTCAAGTAGGTCGAAAGCTTTGGAGTAGTCTAACAGTAGGAGCACCGCAATTTGTTTCCTGCCAAGGTAATGAAGGATAGAGTTCTGTGCATTAAGAAGAGCATGCTCGCATGACATCCCCGGTCTAAAGCCGTATTGGCTTTCGAACAGAGAGCCGTTTTTATCAAGAAATTCAAGGACTCTAGTGTGCATTAACTTTTCGTAAATTTTTGAGAATGAGCTAAGAAGAGATATGGGTCTATAGTTAGTGACATCTGTCTTACTACCTCCCTTGTGGATAGGGATTACGCGTGCAGTTTTAAGAGCAGTTGGAAATATGCCCTGTGTAAATGATGAGTTTATGATAGTAGAAATCACACCGGTGAACTTGCTATCATGGTTTGCGACTTTCATCGGCCCAATTTTGGTATCCAGTGTTGACTTATTCTTAAATTTTAGAATCACTTCACTCACCTCAGTTGGTGTTACCGGCCTAAGATACATCGAATTCGATGTTGGGTTCCTAAGATATCTACTAAAACCCCCAGGATCAAAAGTTTGTCTAGCACTAATCTGTGCTTTAATGTTTGAAGCTATATTTGAGAAGTAGTTGTTAAATTTTGCTGCAACATCGGTGCCATTGCTGATAATAGATCCGTCGTCGCCTTTCAGTTTTATAGAATTTTTTTCTTTCAACTTCCTGTTCAACAGCGTGTTAATCATTTGCCATTGCTTTTTAGAGTTCTCACAATGCTCGTCAAAAAATTTCTTATAATATTTTGCTTTAGCTAAGTCAATGTGCTTGTTGCAGAATTTATCAATTTTTTCATACGCTTCATCATTGGCCTTGGTTGAAGTTGTGATTTTTAGGTGGTGGAGCTTATTCCTTCGCGCACACGCATCCTCTAGCCAGGGAAGAATCCAAGGTTTTGGATCTCTTCGTTCATTTTTACGCCGCGGCCTGGATTTGTTCAAGGGGTATGCCTCAACATAATGTTTGGTGTAAATTTCACAAAATTTTTCGTACTGTACTTCACAATTTTCGTGTAAACTCACTTCACTCCAGTCCTCACTTTCGATCAAACTTTGAAATTTAGCATTGTTAGCTTCGCCAAATCTCCGTGCCTGTTTGATACTTGGTTTTTTACTTGTAACCCTCCCGCATGGCCCCTCTCTGTCCCCAAGTAGAAGCGTAGTAAGGGTGGCTAGGTGGTCTGATACGTGTAGAGTAAGCACCTGACAACTTGCCGTGTTCTTGATGTCATTAGAATACACGTGGTCTATGAGTGTTGCACTGTGGTCTGTAATTCTGGTGGGCCTTGAAATCATTTGAATGAAACCGTAGTTTTCAAAAGTTGCAACAAGGTTCTGACTGTGCACGTCCTTATCGTATTTTATTAGATCAATATTGAAGTCACCCGTGAATAAAATGTGTTTACGTGAGTGCCTGTCTAGGCTTCTAAGTACATTATCTAGCAGTTTCATGAACTTATCAACATTACGCGATGGTGAGCGGTAAACATTGATTAGTAGCTTGGTCTTGTTAAAACCTTTGCAGTTGTGGATTTTTATAAATTGGAATTCACCACTTGTTTCTTCCTCACAGCTGAAGTTTGGCCTGTACTGTTCTATTTGCTCCTCTGTACATACCTGTCTATTTACGTATAACACCAGTCCACCCCCACGGCCAGATGTACGTGCTGGTTCCTGTAATATCGGCTCATGAAATCCCTCTAGAAGTATGTCATTAATACCGTTAGGTAGCTTACTTAGAGCACAGTTTGTTTCATTGAAACTCAGTATATCGTAATTTAGATACGTGTGAATTTCTTCTCGGAAATGAGTTATGTTTTTGTGTAAAGATCGTACGTTTAATGAAAATACTTTTAGTTCATTGGTTTTTGATGGTGAGATATGGACTTGTTGAATGTACTCACATCTTGTTAGCATTTCACTAAGATCTTTCCAATACATGGAGTCGTGCTCAAGTTCCTCTATTTGGTTTCCAATTGAATTTATGAGGCTGGATTTATTGTAAGGGTTGTAAGTGTGCCGGATTGAGGAGGAGTTATAATCATCATTTAGATCTATACTGCTAGTGCTGTAACCAGGTATGTTTTCTACGCAGCATTTGACGCATCCTAGCTCATATCTATAACACTTCTTGTGGACTGCTAGTTCACACCAATCACACTCTCTCACATTTCTTGAAGAGTAAGACCAGCCCAGACAACTGTGACATTGCTGCTTGTATTTTTTTGAAGTATTGTGCGAATCTAAGATACATTCATCGCAGGCTCTTATTGGCAAAATACTACTAAGGCATTCGTAGCAGGTCCAATAAGTTTTAGCTAGTTCATCGGCTCATGGTCATTGAGATGATCTAGGATAACACTTTTACCCGTATTACATATCCCATTGCGCATTTAAAACATAATTTATCCCCCGTGCAGAAAATGTTCCACAAACAGTCTCCAAACCAACCTCTATCTCGGAAGAGGTTTACGTTCCTGATAAGAACTTGGCTGTCCCAGATGGAATGATAACGGTTTGTCCCGACATTTTCATAATTAGATATTTTTCAAACGTGGTACCCACTAAGATATTTCCTTCTTCGGTATGTGGATATAGTTACTTGTAAATAATGATACTAATTGTAAAACTATTTATATTCCTAGCTAGAAGAATATAAACTAACGTGTAACATTCCTCAGCCGAAAACGGACAAACATTACAAAGTAGTGGAGAAAACTGCTGCTTTTCTCAGTACACAGAACCTGCAAACCGAGATAGTAATCCGGACAAAACAGAAAGATAACCCTATCTTCCAGTAAGTTGGTACCTTGTTAGCTGCTGTTTTAGACTGAGCTGCCCAATTGATCAGTTTAAACACTGTATTTTTATTGTTTATGGACAGAATTAAAGCTTCAAATCGTATTTGATATGAGCTTCGCCCTCAAGTTTCTAGCATGAATGTTAAAACTATAAAATATTAATATTGTATAACATGACATATCATGATATTTATACATTTTCAATATTTCAGTTTTCTGGAGCCCGATCACGAACTTAACCCATTCTACAAACATGTACTGAGTGCAATTAAACGCAAGATAATCGTAGTACAAAGTGAGGCTAAACCGAAACCAGTGGTCCCTTCTGCAGCAGAACAGCAAGCAGCGCTAGAAGCACAACAGCGCGCGCAATTACAAGCTCAGCAGCTGCAAGCGCAACAGCAGCAAGAGGCGCTGATAGCGCAGCAGCAGGAATACGAACGCCAACAGCAGTTAGCACACCAGCAGCTGTTAGCAAGACAGAAGAATGAGCTTCAACAGAATAGCGGGCACGCGCAATGGAACAAGATAGGTGGGGAGCTCCTTCACTCGGGCGAAAAGAAAGGTTCGTTTTGTGATATTTACAGATCTCTATTTCCCCCGTGAAATACGGAATAGAGAGGTTTTACTGTATTTAAAACTATCTGTGATTTTTATGTATAATTACTTTTAATTTTTCCATTGAAATCACCCTGCTACCAACTACATATATATTGACAATTCCTCCCTTAGGTGTGGGAAGCAGCTTAGCAGCCTTGTCTGCGTACGGTGCAGCGAGTGATTCAGACAACAGTTCCTCTGAAGACGAGGAAGAGAAGAATCCTTCCACTCTTAACTCCATGATCAACAACATACCCGTCCCTCCAGGCACCAGTCCGGGTCAGTGTTCACTTTGAGGAATAAATCTAGAACTTTCCTCTCTTTATTTCCGTCCATAGTGTAGGTTATATAAACCTACATATTGTACAGTGTAGTTTTATTTTCGTAGCATGCGGTTATTATATTTATAATACACAATACTTGCATTGTTGAGGGTGCAGGTGTAACTCAGTGTTGCTTAAACATAAACTTAATTAAGCTAATATATTATTAATTGAACGCTGACAGGTGTTATTACAAATAAATCACATTCCAGAAGTGATCCAGTACCTGATTATGTCAGGGTTTGTAGCACTGCCACCTCCAGCCCCGGGACTCCCCCAGCTACTGGTACCCCCTGCTGGATATGAGGGCTTCTCAATCCCCACTGCGCCCCCGCCTCCCCCTCCCGAGGAAGAGTAAGTTGGAAATTAGACAGTTTTACTTTTTCCTTGATTCATTGCGTAGGAGGGATGCATTGTTCTTAACTTTTATCGATTTTCTTACACATGAATTAAACTTAAATCTGTCAAGAAATATATTTTAAATGAATTAAGGCCAGTTGTGTTTCTTCTTTCCGTTCTAATCGTTTGAATAAAAGGAACTGACGAGTGTTTACTTTTCAGAGTACAGATAACAACAGAAGAACCAGAAGAATGCCACGACATTGAACGTCCAGCCTCTCCAAACACAGAACAAAAAGGAATCATCACCAAACTGGCGGAATATGTCGTAAAAAACGGGGACTCCTTCGAAAGGAAGGTTCAGAAGAAGCAGGACACCAGATTCGCGTTTGTCAATCCTGGAAACGAGCACCACAACTATTATCAGTACCTGATACAAAAGTTCAGGAATAAACGCGTCAAACTCAACGTAGCTCCGATCAAGATCAGGACTAAGAGTAGTCAGTTGAACCCAACTGCAAACGTTGACAGCACAGTCTTTAACCAATCCTCCAGTGAAGATGAAGAGAGCAAAGAAGAAAGCGAAGAACTTACTCAGTCTTCTAATCTAACCACCAGTTCCCCACAACGTGCAGGACAAATATCCCGCAGTCCTAGTCGGTCTCCTCTTCCACAGAGTTCCTCTCAAACAGAGTCACATGACACAGACTCAGTGTTCACCTCTCAGGAGACAGGACCCCAGTCTCTGTCCAGCCCCCTCCAGTCCCCTCATCCCCTGGATAGTGACCATGAGTCCTCCCCTCCACCTAGCTCTGATACACGTCTGGAAAGACAAAATAGTCCCTCTAAAACCCCTGTTTACACCCAGGAGACAGAAGACAGGACACCCTCTCCTATCCGTACCCCACAGGACGACCGCACCCAGACTCCTGAAATCAAAATATATCCCTGCACCCCAGTTAGGCCTGAAGTTGATAGTGAGGCAGAGTCAGTTGACTCGGAAACGAAAGGGATGCCATTAGTTCAACACTTCAGTGATGATGACAGTGAACTTGATTCCAGATATGATCTGGATGGGAAGAGAAGCAGATCTCCTTCTAAATCTCCTGCCAAGTCAAGAAGCAGATCCAGGTCCGTCCAGAAGGAAGGCGAAGGTTCCAAATCTGTCACCTCACCTGTTAATCACACCAATAGTAGATCCCAGAAAGACTCTGAAACTAAAAGTCAATCTCCTAAAAAGTCAAGAAGTAGATCAGTATCACTAAAACGTCCACGATCAAGAACTAAAAGCAGATCTCCAAAGAGGTCCAGAACACGAACTCGATCTTACAGCAGATCTCGAAGCCAATCTCGCCGTCATGGGTCTGAAACACCTAACTCTAGTGCCTTTAAGTCTGATAACGAAGAGTTGTTTGAAAAACAGCGACAGGAAAAGGAAGAGTTGCGACAGAGAGAAGAAAGCCTTAACCAAAGAGAAGAATTGCTGAGGAAGAAAGAAGAGTTGCTAAAGAAGAAAGAAGAGGAATTGCCTGAAGAAGGTGAAATCTCTGACGGTAGTACTAAGCGAAAACACAAAAAACATGTATCTAGTCGAGGACGAAGCCGATCAAAAAGTCCATCAAAGCACAAGAAGAAAAAGAAGGATAGATCACGTAAAAGAGAAGGCAAATCCTCCCGCTCGGAGTCCAGGTCATCTAGCAGGAAAAAGCAAAAGATGGAGCATAAAGAAGACCACAAACGGAAGAAGCCAACTCCACCTCGAAAAAGTGACACAGACGAGTGGATGTCTGAGAAGATGAAGAAGCTCAGCAAGATAGAGTTGTTAAAAGAGATTGAAGACAAGTTGGAAGAAAAGAAGAAACTGCGAGAGCAAAAAGAGGAAAGTCCGAAACCCAAAATAGCAAGCTCTGAAAAAAGCTCCAAGAAGGACAAGCGAGATAAACACCACGAAAAGAAAGATGTGGAATCAACTTCTGATAAACACTCGAGAGAAACAAAATCTAGTACCAAAAACGGTTCGCATTTTGCTAAAGAAGCTGATACGAAGGAAGGGAAAAAAGAATCTAAGTTTGACGAAGAAAAAAGGCTTGCAATGGAAAAAGAATTAGCGCAAATTGAAGCAAAACTACAAGCCAAGAAATTAAAAAAGAGCAAGGATGTGGTAGACGAGACGAAAAAGAAGGTCAACGATAAAGCTAACGGTCACTCGGAGAAATCAAAGAATAAAAAACATAAGAAAGGTACGGTTATGTAATGTTTCCATCTTAACCATGTATCATGAATTTGGTTTTTGCTTTTTTCCACTGTCTTTTAATTTATTTGAAGTCTGTTAGAGAAATAAGTAGCGGCTTACATTATTGATTCTTGATTCTACGTTTTTTTTTTCAGAGAGAAGTAAAGAAAAGAAAAGTTGACCGAGATCGGGGCGTTGATTTTAATTAACTTGTAAGTAATTAACTTGTTCTTTTGATTACTATCTTATCATTTGATGTGTATTTAATTGAAATGGTAATGCTTTAATTAGATACTTAAAATAGGATGAAAGATATTCTTGATATTTTAACTCCCTCTTCTATTTCGGTTGATTGCAAATGCGTAACAGCCTTCTGATCGATCACGCAACATTTTTGTCTCTGCTTGACCTTGTATTGACATTCCTTAAGTTCAAGTCAAAACTAAAATATAAATATTTGGCAGTCAACAAAATGGATCGCTGACAGCTTCTTTCTATACCGCCTATTCTTATCATGAGGTCAACTTGCGGTCAACTTGCGGTCAACTTTCACCTGTGTTGACAAAATACGGTGTAATTTCTTGTTTAAATTACAGACACCTGATGTGTCAACTGTCAACTGTCAAATGACCAGTGTTTTTGTTGTTTCGTAATATCACATGAAATGAGCGGCTTTTATTATAGTTGCCAGCCATACACAGAATCACATTGAAAGGGACATTTTAATTATAACATCTTCATGTACTAGCAGAATAGGCTGAAAAACTTGTGAAATTCTTCGTGCCGCGCACGTACGTCACCAACGCGCATTTATGCATTTTAATGAAATTGTACGTACCTAGATTTATAAGTCGTAATATTTGCTCATGAGTCAGCTAACTGCTAATATATAACAGCTAATATATAACTGCTGAGCCTTGGCATTAATTGGTAATAAGAAGTGTCGGCCAAGTTAAATCATATCATTGATTGTCACAACTAGGTCCTTTGTTAACAATCCTCTTCAGAGCCTGTACAACGTACGACCTTTACTGCACATGAATGCTTGCTTCTCACCATAAACTGATCGTAAGCAGAGATCTCATCTGCTAAGGGTCAACATCGTCAATGAGCAACCGTTGTAATGTATGACTGATAGGATTGACGCAATGTGAATTACATACTTGATATGTGGGTTGCGTGGCTACAGATCATTTTTTGATTGGGATAATTAATCTGACGCAAATAATATTTTTCATTCATAGAAAAGGTCAATATCACTGAAAGACTTAAGTTAAATTTGCTCAATCGATTAAAGGGGACATACACCATAATTATAACCTTTTTTGCCGGGACCCGCGACTTGACTTCTTATTATGAAAGTATAGATATAATCAATAAGATTATATACAATAAGATTGGATACATTGAAATTTTTTTTGAGGGTACGCACTTTCGAAAAGAAATTTCTTTTTGGAAAGTTTTTTTCAATTTTGAGAAGTCTGTCACTGTAACACCGACATATCAGTCATTTTGAAAGTTTTTCACTGATTTTTTGACTGAAAATTGACAATCCGTACAAGAAGCCCTTCAAAGGATTTTATAATTAAACAATAGATGACGAAGTTACAGACCAAACAAGGTCGAGAGAAGCAAAATTGAAATTTTTGCCTACCATCAAAGTTATATATTTTACCTATCACCCAGGTCATAAGATATCGCTTCAAAAATTCTTGTGAGTGTAGCTGATGATCATATCCAACTTTTTGGAACACGATTTCTCTCAATTTTGAGTTTTAAGGTATGAAATCTGGCCTCAGTAAAATTCATCGTAAAAAAAGCCAAAAATGGCAGATTTAAGGCTTAAAATGCCTATAAGTCAAAAAGTATCATTTAAAAAAAATAAATTTTACAGAATCGTAATCAGCTTGATAAGACGAATCTTTTTAAGTACCAAATAGATGATTTTAGAAGAAATATTGTCTTAAATAATTTTCTAGCTCGAACACAAGGATCCCCCCTTGTATAAATGTTGTACAAGTTGTACACATTTTTATACAAATTTTGTGTCTTTAACTATTATAAATCGCGGGTCCCGGCTAAAACGGTTTTGGTATATGTCCCCTTAAGTGGACCTGTCCATTTATCAAATTTGGTTAGAGTGCATAGTGTGTTATAATATTGTGTATGGTAGTTGCCAAGACTAATCCTCAAAAATGCGATATATAAATTGTCCAATTTTATCACTTTTGACTTAACTTGGAGATAATTTAACCCTAATAGACATATTTTCGTCAGATTGGAGCTTGCCACGAAGGGGTACGACTCAAAGTCTCTGACGAAACAGGAAAGAGACGAATTGAAGAGAAGATCCAGCTGAGAGGGTTTTAGTCGGCTACTTATTCTGGAATTTTTATTTTGTATTAATATGAATCATCAGATTTTTATCCGAATCGTTTTATTTTTACTGAATGGGGTCGGACGCAGTCTTTGTTAAAATTTGTCTTATCTTATTGGGATGCAACGACTGGATAAATACGTTGACATTTTGCCGGATAGTCCTCGCAGTTCAATAGTGAAAATCAGCAACAAAAGGTTTATTTGAAGCGTCTCATGATGACCACAAAACGGCAATTTATCAGTAAAAATTAGCTGTTGTATGGATGTGGAGAGGTGATAATTGTTTGTTTACATTTTAGGGCGAGCACATGTTCAGGAGGCTGAAGGGTTAGTAACAAGAAGGCGTTACGCTTGTAACGCCTTCTTGTTACTAACCCCCCTTTGAGGGCCCCGAATTATTTTCTGAACGAAAGCTCAAAAATAACCGAGAAATCGACCTTCTGATTAACTCATTTTGATGACCGTTTCTAACCTAAAATTGCACGAAAAATCGATTTAGCTAGGTTTCAGTTAGTGTTACCTGGGGACCTCAGGCTATCATTGATCATGTTTATAAACATGACAGGCTGAGCTCGGCCCAGTAAGGTTTCAGAACCTATAGTTCTGCTTCCTATAGGTATAAATTGTGCATTAGGCTAGTTTTAAAGTTGAAAATCTAAAGGTTGCACACGTGGGGACACGCCCAAATTGATTAAAAATCACTGAAAATTGCTGTTTTTACCATTTTCTGTCAACTTTGGAGTGCCGTTGTGAGTACAGTTCTTCTTGAAATACTTTAAAACTTTGCATGCTTATCAAACTATACATAAATAATGAATCTGCAAAAATTTAAGGTGATTTAATATCGGATGCGCACGCAACGTCCGCTCAAAGTTTGCACGTGCGAAAGGTGAGAATTTTGCTCAATCTTGATTTCGATTAGATTATGCTTTTCCATGACAGTTAAATGGCATTATATATGAATTTAATGCCGACTTGAATGAGTATAATGTGGCATATTCAGTCAGTGATCGACAGATATGCTTACCTAAACACAAGGAAATGTTTTCAGGTAAAATTTCAAAATCGCGTTGAAATTACCTCCTTTACCTTATTAATAAAGTTATGAATTTTGACTTTGAAAAGTACCCTGACATTTATATAAAAGAGATGATACTTGACCAAAACCCATAATCATGGGTAGAGTAGACCGCTGTCATGCACCAGTGTCTCTCTTTCCCAAACAAAAGGATATGATATCAATATCAATAATTGATTGACCGTTCTCAAATGCAAAATGATACCGAGAATGAAATCGGTCGCTCGCTTTTCCCATTCATTTACAATTGTAATAGATTAAGAAAAACTACCCGAAGGCAGCTGTACTCGGCAACAAAGATTCAATAAAAGGGAAAAGCGAGCGACCGATTTCATTCTCGGTTTCATTTTGCATTTGAGAACGGTCAATCAAATTGATATCATATCCTTTTGTTTGGGAAAGAGAGACACTGGCAGCGCGTTCCACACATGATTATGGGTTTTGGTCAAATTAACGAATACGGATTTCAACGAATATCGAAAAGGACTACCAAGGATTGTATCGGGATTTCTATATCGGTATTTCAAATCTTCATAGCTGTTTTAGGATGAACTAACGGTATTTTAGGATTGTGTTAGGGCTTAATTGACCATTGTTAATGATCAGGCCCGGCGCGCGCTACTTCGTAGCACTTGCCATCGGGCCATCACTCATCAGGCTTGCTACACGTTGTATAGCTCTCGTGCACGCGCGCGCTCAAAAGGGGTTACAGCGTGTGTCAACTAAAATCTGGATTTTGGGCATGTTCAGGGTATTTGGCTAAATTGGGCCTAATTTGGACCAAATATGGGCGTGGCTGCCCCGCGGGCACCGTTTGGCGGTTGGGGTCCGGGACCCCTCAAAAGTTCGGTCACTGGTCCTAGTTTGTTCATTGTTGGTCAACTGCTATCTCGAAACCAAGTTTCACAAAAAAATCAAAGTGACCCCCCCCCCCTAATTCTAATTGTAAGATTCAAGGTAATATTCTATTTATAATCAACAAAATATGCTAGGTAAAAGATAAGCTAGGTTAACTCTAATTGTAAGATACTTGTATCACGTTGCGACCCCCACGGTCGTTTACTTTATCGTCCTGACGATACAGGGGGAGCCGCGCACTTCGTGCGCAGCGGGTCATACAACGTATGACAATAAGATACAAGGTAATAATAATATTTACTGGGCCGCGCGCTCAGCCTGTCATTCCGCCAAATCTTTATTCGGATTATGTTAATGAACATAATAGCCTGGGGTCCTCAGGTAATAATAATATAAACTACATATGCTAATGTACGGTTAATTTTAAACTTGAGGCAGAATGTAATGTCAATGAGAAGTGTACAACGCGACGGAAGGGGACCATTTTCATAACATGAGTGATGAGGTTGACGGATGTTACTCGTCTAAATTTCTTCGAAGTAGCGCGCGCCGCTTTCTTCTCGAAATGGCCCGATGGCCTGATGTTGACACACGCTGTAACCCCTTTTGAGCGCGCGCCGGCCGGCGTGCACGCTTCGCGTGCACGAGAGGTATACAACGTGTAGCAAGATTGTAGGTAGTGGTCTCTTAAACTCGTATATGAATTTTCATCAAGATTGGACAAAAAATGACTGAGTTATGCGAGCCAAAAACCATATGACCATATTTGGGCATACGCACCAAATTTGATCGATTTTGGCCCATAAATTGGTCAAATATCAACATTTTTGAATGAAACCAACTTTATTATATGGAAGGTAAGCCTATACTACACATTATCTATGATTATCAGCTCAGTATCTACCTAACTGTGCAGATTTTGTGTTCAAATAATCGCAAAAAATGAACAAAATTGCCCATATCTCAGTTTGCGATATTTCATTATTTGCAAAACAGACTTCGCTCAAAACAATAGAACTCAATAAGGTTTTAATATTTTTACATGAAATTTTCAAAATCAAAGTAGAATCGCATTTCGACCTTGAGTTTTGTATTGGAATTTTGAGTTAGTCCTTTAAAAAAAATTTGGCGGCTAAATTCCAAAATTTGCAATTTAAGGGGGGGGGTTCACCCTGATTTTTTTGTGAAACTTAGTTTCGAGATAGCTGTTGACCAACAAACTAGGACCGGTGACCGAACTTTTGAGGGGGTCCCGGACCCCAACCGCCAAACGGTGCCCGCGGGACAGCCACGCCCATATTTGGTCCAAATTAGGCCCAATTTAGCCAAATACCCTGAACATGCCCAAAACCCAGATTTTAGGTGCTCTTCTTGTAGCTAGTGGTCCCCTAAACTCGTATATGAATTATCATCAAGATTGGACAAAAAATGACTGAGTTATGAGCCAAAAACCATATGACCATATTTGGGCATACGCACCAAATTTGATCGATTTTGGCCCATAAATTGGTCAAATATCAATATTGTTGAATGAAATCAACTTTATATGGAAGGTAAGCCTATACTACACATTCTCTATGATTATCAGCTCAATATCTACCTAACTGTGGATTCTGTGTTCAAATAGTTGCAAAAAATGAACAAAATCGCCCATATCTCAGTTCGCGATATTTGCAAAACTGACTTCGCTCAAAACAATAGAACTCAATAGGGTTTCAATATTTTTTCATGAAATTTTCAGCATCAACGTAGAATCGTCTCATGACCTTAAGTTTTGTATTAGAATTTTGAGTTAGGCCTTTTAAAAAATTTGGCGGCCAAATTCTGAAATTTGCCGGGCATTTTTCAGAATTTGGCCGCCAAATGTTTTTAAAGCATAAAGGCCTAACTCAAAATTCTAATACAAAACTTAAGGTCATGAGGCGATTCTACGTCGATTTTGAAAATTTCATGAAAAAAATATTGAAACCCTATTGAGTTCTATTGTTTTGAGCGAAGTCAGTTTTGCAAATATCGCTAACTGAGATATTGGCGGTTTTGTTCATTTTTTGCAACTATTTGAACACAGAATCCACAGTTAGGTAGATATTGAGCTGATAATCATAGAGAATGTGTAGTATAGGCTTACCTTCCATATAAAGTTGGTTTCATTCAAAAATATTGATATTTGACCAATTTATGGGCCAAAATCGATCAAATTTGGTGCGTATGCCCAAATATGGTCATATGGTTTTTGGCTCATTACTCAGTCATTTTTTGTCCAATCTTGATGAAAATTAATATACGAGTTTAGGGGACCACTAGCTACAAGTAGAGCACCTAAAATCTGGGTTATGGGCATGTTCAGGGTATTTGGCTAAATTGGGCCTGATTTGGACCAAATATGGGCGTGGCTGCCCCGCGGGCACCGTTTGGCGGTTGGGGTCCGGGACCCCCTCAAAAGTTCGGTCACCGGTCCTAGTTTGTTGGTCAATTGCTATCTCGAAACCAAGTTTCACAAAAAATTCAGGGTGAACCCCCCCCCCCTTAAAATTCAGAATTTGGCCGCCAAAATTTTTTAAAGGCCTAACTCAAAATACCAATACAAAACTTAAAGTCGAAATGCGATTCTACGTTCATTCTGAAAATTTCATGTAAAAGTATTGAAACCCTATTGAGCTCTATTGTTTTGAGCGAAGTCAGTTTTGCAAATATCGCGAACTGAGATATGGGCAATTTTGTTCATTTTTTGCGATTATTTGAACACAGAATCCACAGCTTTAGGTAGCTTAGATACTGAGCTGATAATCATAGATAATGTGTAGTATAGACTTACCTTACATATAAAGTTGGTTTCATTCAAAAATATTGATATTTGACTAATTTATGGGCCAAAATCGATCAAATTTGGTGCGTATGCCCAAATATGGTCATATGGTTTTTGGCTCATAACTCAGTCATTTTTGTCCAATCTTGATGAAAATTCATATACGAGTTTAAGAGACCACTAGCTACAAGTAGAGCACCTAAAATCTGGATTTTGGGCATGTTCAGGGTATTTGGCTAAATTGGGCCTATAATTTGGACCAAATATGGGCGTGGCTGCCCCGCGGCGCGGGCGGTACCGTTTGGCGGTTGGGGTCCAGGACCCCCTCAAAAGTTCGGTCACTGGTCCTAGTTTGTTGGTCAACTGCTATCTCGAAACCAAGTTTCACAAAAAATCAGGGTGAACCCCCCCTCCCCCCCCCCCCCCCCCCCCCCTTAACCTTGTCCTTACCTTTTACCTCGCATATTTAGTTGATATTACATTGTATTTGTATCTTATAATTTGAGTAACCATTAACTATGCCTATTTTTGGGTTTTGGTAAAATATTAAACAGTATTGCATTGCTCCATTTCTATTAACCATGCAATGGCAAAAAAAATACATGATTGCTGATAAAACAATGAAGCAGTGAAATATGGCCTCAGTATTTATAAAAATACCAAACTGTAGTTTTGTTAACGATAATAACCTTAAATTAAAAAATGAGCAGATCACAGATATGCCTTCAATGGGTATAGTCTGGGCGAGAGTCCCAGAGACTATTAAAGAGAACTGAATGTTACTGTTAAGTGTTTAAGTGAACTTGAGGTCGGAGAAGCTGTAAGAAATGGCTGAATTTACCGTATTTAGTTTCAACATTCCTCCTTGTTTACTTACTTGTCTCAAGATATAGTAGTCCCGTAGTTAAACTGTGCTACACTGTACTCTTATCGAGGTACATAGATAAGATAATAGTTTATAAACTATTATCTTATCTATGAACCTCGATAAGAGGTACATAGAATTAGATAGGAGTATGTTTTATTTTTGATATAAAGTAAATTGCAATATTTTGCACATCTAAGAGAAATAAAACTCAATATTCAATGCAACTTTTTAAATTTATGGTCATTCAACGAAATTCACTCGTGATCGTATCACACCTTACCCCTGCGTTACCCACTACCCAGTGCAGTTTCATACAAGTTAGCATTATTACCTTCACATAAGGTTCTACTGGGGTTCAGCAGATGATCGTTTTCCAAAATCAACAAATGTTTCACCGTTCTGCTGGGGTTCAGCTTATCGTTTTCCAAAATCAACAAATTCTTCACCGTTCTGCTGGGGTTCAGCTGATCGTTTTCCATAATCAGAATATGCTCCACCGTTCTCCTGGGGTTCAGCTGATCGTTTTCCATAATCAGAATATGCTCCACCGTTCTCCTGGGGTTCAGCTGATCGTTTTCCATAATCAGAATATGCTCCACCGTTCTCCTGGGGTTCAGCTGATCGTTTTCCATAATCAGAATATGCTCCACCGTTCTCCTGGGGTTCAGCTGATCGTTTTCCATAATCAGAATATGCTCCACCGTTCTCCTGGGGTTCAGCTGATCGTTTTCCATAATCAGAATATGCTCCACCGTTCTCCTGGGGTTCAGCTGATCGTTTTCCATAATCAGAATATGCTCCACCGTTCTCCTGGGGTTCAGCTGATCGTCTTCCTAATCCTGGAGGCTGACACTGAGTCAGAGCGATCAGTCCTAGCACTAGTAGAAAACAGAATACTTTCGTCATTGCTGCGGGTCTGGTGTTTTTTTAAGGCTAAAACAATAGGATACGAATATGGCAATACTTAAGCCTAAGGGGGCATACACCAAATCTGTCCAACCCAAATGACCTCATAGGCAGTTCAGTGACCATCTAGCGCACCGTTTCCACATAAAAAAAATATTTTGAGAATACCCATTTTTGTAATCGAGCATTTCCTGGTTAGAGTGGAATTTTCGGAAAAACACAATTTGTTTCGTGGAGAGGCTTTAACGGGTGATACTCGTAAAATATCTTGGCTTTGCAGATAAAAAATCACATTTCTCCCATAACTTCAAAGGGAAGCATTTTAGGGTGTTTTGTTGTTCATAACTCATATATAAATGTGCTAGTTGCGGTTATTTTGCGCCCTTCAAAAAGTCACTAGTACATTCCTATCAAAATTTAAGAAAAATCAGTAAATATGAAAAACGAAAAATGTGCCTAAATTTGTTGTTTGGCTTTGAAGTCCAATAGATCTGAAGATAAATGAGGAAAAACATGTTTGAAGGCATTAAAAACTGCGCCAGAATTCAGAGAACAAGTTCATGTCAACCATCAAATCAATCCGATCTTTCCTGACTGACTTTTTGGTTAAAATAAGTCTGAAAAAGACAATTTCAACTTTTTGTAACTTTAAAAATGTATAACACACCAGCCTTTTTAGATACGATATCAAGATTTTACACACACCTTGAAATAGATACCCGATACCGCAAGAAATGAGTAACTTATAGCCTCTCCACGAAACAAATTGTGTTTTTCCGAAAATTCCACTCTAACCAGGAAATACTCGATTACAAAAATGGGTATTCTCAAAATATTTTTTTTTTATGTGGAAACGGTGCGCTAGATGGTCACTGAACAGCCTATGAGGTCATTTGGGTTGGACGGCTTAAACCACTGTTTTGGTGTATGCCCCCTTAAATAGTTCAACGTTTTTTACAAATATAAATCGATATCACTATCAGATAAAAATAAGATTTAAAAAAATGCGGAGTTACGTGAGACTGAAACCTGGTAAAAGGAACAGAACTGAAAGTTAAAGCCCTGATAAAGCAAATACCTGTTCTAAGGAGAAATCTTAATCATATCAGTCGTATCAGAAGTCGTTCAAAAGGTAGATCAAAATAGTCTATTCTTTTATATTTTTAAAGATAAAAAGGAAAAAAGCAACCAGCTGCTAAAATTTAACGCTGGAAAAACTCGGAAATCGGCATATTTCGGTGTCTAAAAAACCATGTTAATAGAGATCTAAAATTTGTTGAACACCAGACTCTAACTTTGTTCACGATAATTATCGTAAATCAAAGAAGCGATCGGGTGCATTAAATTGATAGTCTGGGCGAGAGTCATGAAAAAATAAATAATTTTTAATAATATATAGTATATAATTGCGTGCATCAAGATAGCTTACTAGCTTGCATCAAGATATAACTTATAGTATGGTTGGTAAACTGTGCTACACTTCAGTCTGTTACTATGATCTGTGATAAATTTAAATTAAATTTAAATTTGTCACTGTTCAAGTTAAATAAGGCAGTCCAAAAAATAATTTCACTGTAGTTTGCGTGCATCAAGATACCTTACTAGCTTGCATCAAGATATAACTTATAGTATGGTTGGTAAACTGTGCTACACTTCAGTCTGTTACTATGATCTGTGATAAATTTAAATTAAATTAAAATTTGTCACTGTTCAAGTTAAATAAGGCAGTCCAAAAAATAATTTCACTGTAGTTTGCGTGCATCAAGATACCTTACTATAACTTGCATCAAGATATAACTTATGGGGGGGGGGGGGGGGGGGGGGGGGTACCACTGTCCATTTTATCCATTTTGTCTTTTTTACATTTTTTTGTGAAGGACAGTGTTTTGGGGACAAAATGGACAATACTAGGGACAAAAGGGACAAAAGGGACAAAAATTTTGGACAAATGAGACAAAAAATTAGACAAGCTCAAATGTAGAGAATGTATATATTCTACTCGACATCAACAATTTAGATTTTCATGTCAGTGTTTTGCTGTACTTAGAATCAACTGAAACCACTGAAGGGACTGAAATAAGCAGAATTCATCAACGGCATCACATAAATAAATGTGTACACGGTTCAGTCAATATTTCATTAATCCCATTAATCAAGTGGTGATATCAAAAAAGTCATAATCTTTTAATATCATAACGCTCATAGCGGCCAGAAGCAGATACCCAGACCCACACAATTACTTTTCCATTAACAATATGCCGACAATATCGAGCTAATGGGTATTCGCGTTTTCCTATGAAGTAGGAGAAAAAGCATGCCCGTCCTCTAATCAAGATTTTCTTATTCCTCCTCTTTTTCCTGAACATGATGGTGTCTCCAGGACGAATCATTTCAACGGATAATTGACCTTATTTTCTTTATTGTCCATTTTGTCCCTGTCTATTTGTCTCGTTTGTCCCTGTCTTTTTGTCCCCGTCTTTTTTGTCTTTTTTGTCCCTATTTTCTTTTTTTGTCCCTTTTGTCCCTTTTGTCTTTGTCTTTTTTCAGTTTTTTTGTGCAGGGATAAAATGGACAGTGGTACCCCCCCCCACCCCCCCCCCCTTATAGTATGGTAGGTAAACTGTGCTACACTTCAGTCTGTTACTATGATCTGTGATAAATTTAAATTAAATTAAAATTTGTCACTGTTCGAGTTAAATAAGGCAGTCCAAAAAAGAATTTCACTTTAGTTTGCGTGCATCAAGATACCTTACTAGCTTGCAGCAAGATATAACTTATAGTATGGTAGGTAAACTGTGCTACACTTCAGTCTGTTACTATGATCTGTGATAAATTTAAATTAAATTAAAATTTGTCACTGTTCAAGTTAAATAAGGCAGTATAAAAACACTTCGATCTGTTAATGGTCCATTATAAGTTTTAAAAGGAATTCAAAGTGGTTGAATACGAACTGAACCCATTTGACAGATATACTGATATAGTGTATTTAGTAGCCAGGTAATGAAATTATAGGCATACAACTATTCTTAATGAAGCTTTCATATAGAAAGAGCCTCCACCGAGTCACGTAGCCAGAGTCTTTGAACTCGCAAAGGAGTCTTTCTAGTGGTGTCTCCAAAGGGAACGAAAAGGACTACTCGTTCAATTTCAATTGAGCGAAGCCGACAAGTGGTGTCAAATAAGTGAGACATAAGAGAGTTTTGGATTCTGTAAGGTGAAGGTTACATATCTTCAACCTCTTGGCAGCTCCAGGTACAGCAACATTAACGCTATGAGATTCTATTCATTTTCATCTACAGCCTCTGCTAGCCGCTAGGGCCTGTTGTGATATCATGGATCGCTTAGGTTCCAACGGGATCTGGTATCCTCATAATTATGCGGCCTCTATGTATCGTCATCTCGCACAACTCTTTAAGAATCTTGTGAATTTGGCATGTGAAAATTTGCAGCCTTCCAGACATTGATTGGGTCAACGAGGTATCGCACGTCACCTCAAGATCGGGTAACAGGGGGCTGACCAGGCCAGAACCCAATTGATTGGATTTGAGGTCACGTGATTATGAGCCTGAGGTGACGTGTTTTATCGATACGATCAACATTATGATCCTGTTGATTAATTAGTAACAGGTAACAAATACTCAGAAACAACCATCACACCTACATTGCATTCTTAACGGGTCGATTTCGAGTGACCAATAATCGTCGTGATGATACGTCATGTGTTCCTGATCGTCATCAGCAATCAAGAGACAGGAGCGGCGGTTGCTTTAAATCAATGGTTTACGTTATTTTTGTGAATTCGACCCCTGTTGAAACGGTTATCACACATTATAACTGCATATGTATCGAGGATAGTTTTACAAATAGGAGGATCAGTAAATTAAAATTAAAGTGTTTCTCTCACTCACTTTCGATAAGACACATCGGAAATTCTTACTTCTATAAGATGCGACATTTTTTTAAACGCCGAAGAATATCGGAATTTTATCAAATTTAATCACACTTATCAACTTTTGAACGGTTAATCGAACACAATAATTTTCAAGCTTGTCAACGACAAGCTTGCTCGCCCTAAAATGTAAACAAACAATTATCACCTCATCAGCCTCCTGAACATGTGCTCGCCCTAAAATGTAAACAAACAATTATCACCTCCTCAGCCTCCTAAAGATGTGCTCACTATTAATGTAAACAAACAATTATCACCTCCCCGCCAGTATCCACATCTATTAGTAGTCTATAGTCTATTCTAATCACGCGACAGAATCTGTTCATCGACTGGGTCCTATACTCCCCACTAGACCACTGTACTAAATTAGTGTAATTGAAAGTTGGCATATTAAAACTAAATAAAACACGAAGTTTATGGATCGTTAAAAAACCTTGTATACTGCAAGATTGTTTGATGAAGATTAAAATTGATTGATATAATATAAGCTTTGAAATTAGTTTTCAGCACGCTTAACTATGAGGTTAATCATGCACTCTTCAATTGGGTTATCTGAAAACTATAAGTTTTCTTTATTATATATCGGTTTAAAAAACCAATGTAACTTAATAGTAATATAAGTCAGCATGCATGTGTTCATTTCTATCAAGATATATAGATTAAGAATTCTTCTGCGGGACCGCCAGAGTAACACACTTGACTTCAGTGTAGTGGTTCAGAGCATATTCTCCCAGGTCACGTCCAAATCCAGATTCCTTGAAACCACCAAACGGTGACTGAAAAATTATGAAATTAGTTTTATTTTACGACTCCTACGAAATGTAAACAGAGTGATACAATGGTACCAACAAACCTACTATTATAATACTGTACGTTAATTAATTTCTGCTGAATCTAAGTTTCATGTAGAAAGACAAAGTAGCCACCGCAAATTGTAAATAAAACAAGTATAAATGCATTTACCTGAGGAACGAGCACATTGTAGCAGTTGCCCCAAACAGTTCCGGCTTTAAGTGCTGTACTGATATGGTACATCCTATCAAGGTTCTTGGTAAATACAGCAGCTGCCAGGCCAAAGTTAGTATTGTTCGCTCGCTCAATTATCTCTTCTTCATCCTTGAATGAACTTATCTGCATAACTGGTCCGAATATCTGAAATGAATGAGAACTTTTAATGTTTAGGCTAAGCATTTAGACGAAGCATTGCGTTGTGCACCAGTCTGAAAGCGGGAAGGTGGTGCAAGTTTGGTTGGACAATCCATTACTATTAAATGTACAATGGAATTTGGTGGGTTGATGCCGCATTAATATTGTTCATCGCGCGGTGTCGCAAGAATGCATTTGCTATTGAAAATTGGCTGCGTGCCAATTAATTCCATGGAGCAATAACAAATTTCCCATTCGACGTTTGCGCGCGCCGCAAATATCAGTTTCCTGGTCTGAGTGAAAAAATGTTCCAAATAAGTTATACAATTAATGAGTGTAACTCTATCATGGGATGCGGTCAAAAGTTCCATGATGCATTTCGTGTGCAACAAGTGAGTGATATTGAGAAAAAGCATTTGGGCTTGCCACCAATTTACCAGCTCGTAATTCATTTCCTATAAATACCGGGATACTAACTCAAAACACACCGATTCAAAGAAAATATGTAGTGTCCCAAGTCAAGAGACAAATTGAACACTATGTAGTTGAATACATTAACAGGTGACCAGCAGCTGTCTCATTAATTTCTCAAGATGTAACGATCTGACAGATTGCGTACTGGTAAACGGATCCCACGTTTATTTATAAAGGATGCTGAATGTTCAAGACCTGAGTGGTGTGCTGTTATAGTGTGGGTATACGTGGGTAACACCCGATGTATCGTGACTGAAGGTTCTTTTGCGCCCTGCTCAGCCCTAGCTATTACTCTAAACAATACCTGGTACCAAGAAGATGACTAATGGATATCCACCATGAGTGCCATCTTTATGTTTTAGTTTATACCTAATTTGGATAGAAAATTGCAGTCCCCTCCCAATGTTCACAAGTACCTGCTATTCTGTCCGTTTCTAAAGGTCCAGTAGCCCTCAAAGACGGTCATATTAATTGCCTGTCTGACTTCACTGTCACTACATTGTCTAATCTGCCTGCCTGTTTCTGAGTCTTCAAAGTACGTTAGTATTTCAGTATTTGCCACTACGCCTCTTGAGTGCTCCAGTGCTTGTAAGATCCTTGTCATCCTGATCACCCTAATCTACCCTCGTCCCTCACCCTGGAGGTTGTCTGCTGAGGTGAGATCAACCTAATCTACCCTCACCCTGGGGCCTGGAGGTTGTCTGCTGAGGTGAGATCACCCTAATCTCACCCTGGAGGTTGTCTCCTGAGGTGAGATCACCCTAATCTACCCTCACCCTGGAGGTTGTCTGCTGAGGTGAGATCACCCTAAACTACCCTCACCCTGGGGCCTGGAGGTTGTCTGCTGAGGTGAGATCACCCTAATCTCACCCTGGAGGTTGTCTCCTGAGGTGAGATCACCCTAATCTACCCTCACCCTGGAGGTTGTCTGCTGAGGTGAGATCACCCTAATCTACCCTCACCCTAGAGGTTGTCTGCTGAGGTGAGATCACCCTAATCTACCCTCACCCTGGAGGTTGTATGCTGAGGTGAGATCACCCTAATCTACCCTCACCCTGGAGGTTGTCTGCTGAGGTGAGATCACCCTAATCTACCCTCACCCTGGAGGTTGTATGCTGAGGTGAGATCACCCTAATCTACCCTCACCCTGGAGGTTGTATGCTGAGGTGAGATCACCCTAAACTACCCTCACCCTGGAGGTTGTATGCTGAGGTGAGATCACCCTAATCTACCCTCACCCTGGAGGTTGTCTGCTGAGGTGAGATCACCCTAAACTACCCTCACCCTGGGGCCTGGAGGTTGTCTGCTGAGGTGAGATCACCCTAATCTCACCCTGGAGGTTGTCTCCTGAGGTGAGATCACCCTAATCTACCCTCACCCTGGAGGTTGTCTGCTGAGGTGAGATCACCCTAATCTACCCTCACCCTAGAGGTTGTCTGCTGAGGTGAGATCACCCTAATCTACCCTCACCCTGGAGGTTGTATGCTGAGGTGAGATCACCCTAATCTACCCTCACCCTGGAGGTTGTCTGCTGAGGTGAGATCACCCTAATCTACCCTCACCCTGGAGGTTGTATGCTGAGGTGAGATCACCCTAATCTACCCTCACCCTGGAGGTTGTATGCTGAGGTGAGATCACCCTAAACTACCCTCACCCTGGAGGTTGTATGCTGAGGTGAGATCACCCTAAACTACCCTCACCCTGGAGGTTGTCTCCTGAGGTGAGATCACCCTAATCTACCCTCACCCTGGAGGTTGTCTCCTGAGGTGAGATCACCCTAATCTACCCTCACCCTGGGGCCTGGAGGTTGTCTGCTGAGGTGAGATCACCCTAATCTACCCTCACCCTGGGGCCTGGAGGTTGTCTGCTGAGGTGAGATCACCCTAATCTCACCCTGGAGGTAGCTCCCACAGGTTAGCAACCATCTCTCTGTGTAAATGTATTATACTGCGTATGAATATGGACAGCAGGTCTCGCGCTTTGTTCTTGGACATTCATAGCCCGACGATTTAAGGAACTGGCTTTTGAATAAAACAGGTTCATTAATAAATACTACGTTAAAGCATGATTTTTGTTTCCATTTAAAACTCAAATTGTTCCAACAGGGATTGTGGATAAGATGTTAATTGAGCTGCACTGTCCTCCACCAATAGAAAGTTATAATTTTACAGTAGCACAACTCAACGTAACATAATGGATCAGACAAGTCATTGTCTATTGATAAAGCGGCATCCTGTATGGGCAACCTTGCTAAATTTAAAGAACTAAACCTGTAATGAAGTATTCGTTTGAATTCTCCTCTTTATTTATGATCACAATGCATAGTAATAGATTTGCCCAGTTTACCAATAATAGATAACGTGACTATACGGTAATAATAAGCTAATCTTCAATCGAGCACTGATTTACATAAAGTAGCCTGTACATGTAACATGCCCAAAATCTGCATCTTAGCGACGGATTGGTCCGCGACCACAGTGTCATCTTTATATATGTATACTTGTGCAAGTTCTTCTGCGGGTTGTAGATTTCTCCCATTCTTTTCCAACTCCCATTCTTTTCCAGCTCCTTGCTTTTCATACAATCGATTGTGGTATCCCTGTTTAAAATGTGTACACCTTAAAAGCTTTAAGGCTCCTTCGCGGTCGGCTTTTCGTTTAATTAGCTCGTGCTTACCTTTCCAGTACAGTATATAATGGGGAGCATTTGTTTGTGCATTCTACTTACGTTTCAATAAACCTAGAGCCTAGCCAGTAATGTCACGTGAGTGCCAGCAATGACATAATTCTATAAACCTAGAGCCTAGCCAGTAATGTCACGTGAGTGCCAGCAATGACATAATTCTCGACACAATAAAACCGTATCACATTTAACACCGATTGTTCTTTGTCGCCGATATTGGTAAAATGACATATTGTTCTTGCGTCTGAATCGTAGATCAATTCCATTTCCACTTCAGTTGGGAAAATGCGAGTTGCAGTACGGTCTTTTTCGATCTGGTCTGAACTCTGATCCAAGTTTCTACTGAATTTAGTTCCGATAGAAACTTAACCAGACCTGCGAATCTGCATTTAAATTTAAAACATTAGAATCCCAAATATTCTGCGCCAGCCCATAGTTTAACGAGGATTTGACCTCATTTAGCCTAAAACATACTTTATAATACATTATAGCATTATGAACTCTAGGCATGTACATTGTATTATAGGCATGTACATTGTATTATATCATGAGAATGGTGTTAGAATTGTTACACTATAAAAAGAGAGAGAGGAGAATCATTCGTAACTGAGAGAGGAGATCATTTGTAACTGAGAGAGGAGATCATTTGTAACTGAGAGAGGAGATCATTTGTAACTGAGATAGGAGATCGTTTGTCACTGAGTGGACCATTACTGAGACAGAATCTTTTGTTACTGTTAGCGAGAGAAAATCTTTTGTTCAACTGAGAAAATCTTTGTAACACTGAGAGCCGAGAGGAACGGAGGGCCATAAACCGTTTACAATTTAAATACTATGTAATACTAAGCGCGGTCAAGGAAACGTGTTATTTATTATAACATTAACCAGTTACCGCCACATTGCTCTCCTGAGAATTACCTTTGGATAGATTTCTAAAGTTGAGTTTTACCGAAGGTTAGCCTCAACGTGAGCCTGATGGTTCTCAGAGGACATTAACGTTAAGCACTGTGAGCTGAAGGGAGTTTAGAAGTTATCCTTTATCGTTTTCGTCTTTTTGTTGCGATAAATATGTCAAGCCATCGACTACCGATCATGCATGATGTTTTGAACTTGGATGTTTTTATCACTCTTTATTCTTTTATTGTTAACAGCTGAATATTTACCGCCCATAAATAAGTCATCAGATTCAGGTCAGGTCCGGTCACTCCGGTCTGGTAAGCATGATTTTTAATGTTTTTCCTGTTAACTGCTAGTGAGAACGGTTGTTAGTCAGTATCTTGTTGTTGAGGCCAGCCCTATTATTTTCCTCATTTCTTGTTGTTCGACAACACAGTATTTCTGTTGAGCTGAATGGTATGGAGCTTAAATAAATGTATTGATAATAAACTTGTCCAACTAAACTTAAAAAGTGCTCGACCCAATATCTTCGAAACGGGCGGAAAATTCAAAATAAGAAATGTCTAAAAGTTTTAAATAAATAACCCATATTTGAGCGGTATTATAAAACCGCTCGTAATTAAACTTATTTGAAACTTTTGAAAGAATGCTTTAATTAAACTATCAGCGATTAACTTTTTTATGTTTTTACCGATTTTATGTCGTAATATTGTTTAATAATACAGCGTCATAAATTCTGGCACTATTATTCTGCAGTTTTTTCACATCGTTTGCTTTCAAATTTAAAATTGGTCATTAATAAACCATTAAAATGAAATATTCGACATTATCATGGTATTATTTACAAATAGTTTTATTTTACAGCTGCGCATTATATTTACTAGCAGGAACCCGTCTAACCCTAAAATGGTGTCAAGACTCAAGAGACTAAAACAATTATTACCTATTTAAGT